CTCTCGGAGATTAAGATTGAGGATTGGGATTAAACTTATCCTTACCCATTATGCATTGAGGATTATTGGAATCATTGTATGCAACTGTCCCAAAGGAAGAGAGAGATCCTTCTCCATCCAGAAACAATCCATGTACATACCAGGCCGAACACTGAAAAGGTCGAAAAAGGAAACGTACGGCGGTAGACCCATACCTCGTAGATCATCATAAACGAGAACGGGAATTCGAACATCAGAATTAGCATTAAGGATTACGATCCTAGTTGAGCAAGCAGATATAAGTGCCGAGATCTGAGGTGTTATTTGCGGGCGCGAGTAGACAGGGGAGAGAGGGAAGGAGATTTTATGCAGGTGTGTGGTGTGGCGTCTATGTATTGATATTTGCATATATTGGATCTTCGTGTATGGAGTATTTATAAATAACTGGATGGTTATACATCCTATGCTAGCAATATATCTATGTCCTATTTGTAGTACGCACACGCACGCTGCGAATCCCCAAATCCAGAGATCAAGATATCATGTATTTTCTTGATAAGCTTCTAACCAAGCTTAATTTACTCTCTTCACTCCCATGGTCATCTACTTCGTATGGTCCGCGGAATAGAGTCTCATTGAGCGGACGGTACGAGAAATGTACAATTGGGGCACTAGCTCCGGGATCGCGGTGGAGTCAAGTGACGTGACAGGTGATGTTGCGCAGGGGTGGGGGAAATGTATAGAGAGAGTATATGTAGATGAGTGGCACGGTAGATGAGGCACAGTAGATGCCAAGTACGAAGGTCGCGGGGATAAGAATAAGAATTCGGATGGGATGCGAGGGTGTGGCACAGGAGGGGTGGGAAATTGTGTTTTTCGGGTATTTCGGTGGGTACCTAAGGTATGCTTGGATGGGTAATGGGTAGATTGCCATAGATTCGATCTCACTTCTATACGATTGAGAGACACAGGTGTCATGTGGTCTTGGTTGGATATTCTACGAATTGCATGGACGGCCGGGATGCTTGGATCACTGCGATACCGTTACGCTAACAAGCGTACCACTGCATTGCATTACTTTCAAACGCGCGTGCTATATCCTAAGACCGAAACAAAATTCCGAGGCCAGGGCACTGGGAATGAGAAGCGGAAATGGACCGCCTTTTGATTGCGGTGATGATGTATGGATACGATGGCGATGATTGAGGGTGTAGGATATCTCAGATGGTAGATAATAGTATACAAGTGTGCCAGTCTTGATGGGGAAAGACTTCATGGTTACTAATTCCAGATGGGATGACATAGTAAATACTTCACCCACTCGATGATATTTCATGATCCCTATCTATCAACGTATCGACAAGTCAGAATTCAGAGTTCCCTTCACTTCCACTACACCTTCGAAATCCCAACTTCCAAATTCCAACAAGAAACCAAACCCACAAATTCCTCAACCTGACCCCTAAAATCCAAACCCTCTCCCGACAAACCCGTTACTGACCCCTCACACATTGTCGGAACCGCCGATACCATCCATACCCTCGGGAAAATATCAGCGTCAAGCACACACAACGTGCGATATCCATTCACTGCATACGGGTGCCTTGCACCCACGCCACGTCCACAAAACGTGGTAAATAAGGTAAGAAGCGTGTTTGTAATCGCCGTCTAAGTGTTGGCAATTTATTATTCTTTCCTATATCCGATATTCTTACTTGTGCAATGTTTGCACACCCGTGTATCCGAGATGATTTGTGGAAAGTATGGTGGAGCGAGATGTGCGGGTTGGGAACGTTTGTGGATGCGTGCCGTTATCGCGGGTTCGTGCAGTGGTGGTATGAAGCGTTATGTACATACATATTCTAGTCGATATATCCATACCCCGCGCCAAGTTCTTCCGCAAGCGGTAGAGCCATCCATCGTAACGGTACCGCAGCTTCGCAAGAATGTCTCTCTTGGTTGTGGGTACGTAGGTGGGTATGGATTGATATTACTAATTTTACTAACACGCCAACTAACTGTTGATATATTAATAACATGCTCATGCAAGACCCTGTAAACTAAACGTTGTCGGAGTAGGGTGGAAATACTAAATTACCAGGGTTCAATGGAATGCTGTATACGAGTTGCGAGGGCGCTATCGAGATACCGCGGTAGCCTGTCGTGTTTACATTTGAAATGAGAGGTGTTAGATGGGAGCTTGAGAATCGATGGACGAATGAGAGGTCAGAACCGGATTCTCGGGTCCCAACGGTTGGTTGTTGGAACATGGATGAGTCATGATTCAGCTGCGTTCGGTGTCCGCAAGGAGTTTAGTCTCGTGGTGAAGCGTGGAGAGGGGATATTTGGGTTTTGTTGTGCGCGGATAGGTCGGGAGGGGCTTGAGAGGGACGGAGAGTGCTTGCTTGTGTGTGTATGGATCGGCGGTTCCGAGTGAGAGATTGTTATTGTGAGGTTGGATGGTGGTGGACGGGTTAGCTTCTGGGTTGAGACTTCTGTATGTTATGTTTAGAGGGTGGTTTGTTTGATGATTGGTGGTACGTCGGACGTTAGGTTTGGGATCTTTGGATTCGAGGAACTTGTAGCTTGTGATTTGATTTGCTGTAATTTGGGCGGTTCGCTATCAAAAGGTGTAGCGCTTTCCAGAGGCGGAATACTATCTGTCTGGCCCTTTTTGGTTTTTCTTTATATCCATAAGTGGCTGGCTCTGTGTTGATATTTGTTTACCTGGTAGAGGCAGACTACTTTGACTGTGACTCCGCGACAGTTATTTCGGGAGATCAGTCGATTCATCATCTATACCAGAGCTATGAAATATGGGTACTACTACTATTCTTTATAAACACATGCATCTAACATACAGACGATATTTCCATAACCAAACACACAGAAAATTACCAAGTCACATATTCCTCTCCTTACTCGATCGTCAACCCAATGCACCCATCCAAAAGACCATGGAATACTCAATACCAAACCCTCGCAGGCTTTCTTCTCTCTTCCCTTCACCGTTCCCTCAAAGTCAACACTCTTGGCACATTTCTACTACATCCCCCACATTCCAGCTTTCCGGTTCTGGACCCCATCTATCCATAGCTCTGGTCAAGAATGGTGCTACCGACAATCTATGCGCCGGCTAAAAGCTCTGCGATGAACTCGGTAACCAATCTGTCTTTTCATCACACCACCTTCTTTCCTATTCTACTCATTTATTTTATACCCATAGCTAGCTCACCACGTGGAAGATTGAAAATCTGTTACTGTATTTATGGAAGTGTGTTGAGAGAACTGTTAGTCTCCAATATATGTTTCATTCGCACCCCCTTTAGAAATATTAGACGAGATGTTCATGTTTATATTCTTATGAGTAAGGGATCAAATTAGGGTCTAGATCATAACTCATAATTGTTGCCTAAAAGTCTATATTGGGGCGTGGCAGCGCGTAGCGAAGTTGTCATCTAGCTTGGAAGGGTGACATGTCACGAGGTGATGATATCATGGTGGGATGGGCTGGAATTGGTGGGCTTGGTATGTGTTTTGAGAATTAAAGGGAGGGGGGTGGGTACTATACAGATATAAGTGTACGGTGATTGTGAAGTGATTTAGTAAGGTTGTCAGATGATGAGGAGAGGATGGTTTCGGTAGTGGTTGTTCCCCCTTTTGACGAGTTTTCGTTTCGAGGGTGTGGAATTGTGTCTAAATTAGGATCTCTAGAGATTCAAAGGACGGATAATATTCTATTATCATAATTCTGCGGTGATGTGATTTCCTTTGATTGATGTCAATTATCACTGCCACTTACGTATGTAAGTATATACTATTATTGTCTTTACATTATCTTTAGAGATATCCACATGTTCCATTCTTTCACCCCGTTTCTTCTGTATGCTCAGCACTCGTCTTGAGATCAGCTCGCGCTCTTATTACAGTCTGGTTATTTTCCTCTCCAACCATTACGTGACTGATTCGTCATCATTACTAAGTGTCTAGAGTAGGAACGATTGCTTCAAAGGGGGTTTATAAGGATTTGGGATGAGGAAACTTACGTTGAGAAGCTGATGATAATTCTCTACATTGGTAAACGATTCAATGACTCTTTCATGTGTTTGGTGGTTAAGCTTACTTGAGTCCTTATGATTCACTTGCAAGTTTTGAATCAGCACCTGTGTGCATAGATTTCTGTGATCACAATTATGAATCGGCACTCCTTGAAAATATCAAAATCGTTAGGTTGGTACCTATCAGCTTTCAGTTGCTATGTCATATCATGTCGATATCTTGTCGAGTTCCGCAAGATATTATATCCTGTCCAATAACTAATTGTTTCATTATCTGACTCATACTTTCTATCTGTTACTGTCTCCCAAACAGTCGGCTTTACAGTTTAATGCTATTCTTGTCGCTTATTGCGGACTCACGTCATCCTCTCTTCTCGTCTCTGACAACATAGCTTCTCAAATAGCAATATTTTCTCACTTCTGATCACAATAAAATCGTATAGATACTTGATCTTTACCCCTTTCCTCTCAATTCCAATGTTATTTCTGAAAAGAGGCAAAATTCGGATCGGTAGCTGTTTTACCTCGTGAATCTACCATTTCTTGTCTTCCTGAACTTGCTGGCCATTCTTCTCTATAGGTACAGGCTTGGATTGTATGTAAATATACTTATTATCGACCAGTAAAGCGGGCAGGCGCTCAAGTAAATACGAGGTTAACGACAAGAGAGGCTTTTCACGGTCAGTACGGAGTAAATGGCACTAGAGGATAGATCCATAAGTATGATCTCTATATAGAGTATTGAACAAGATGCTCTATTTTGAGCCTAAAATATACATAAGTTTGAGAAGATAGCATATCATGGCCTTCAACGCGTCTGGGTCTGGGCCTTTTTTTAGTTTTACCTTGGATTGATACGTCACGTCTGATAAGTTGCTAAGTGCATACCACGGCAATCTTACGCTTTTACATGTTTACAAGTTGGCTTTAACAATATAATATAACGTCGTTTGATGGTACTCATTATCACTTGAACATTTCTTTTTGATTCATCTCGCTGTATAATCCCCTCGTCATATTTTTTCATAGACTTCCTGTTATCATCCCAACATTATTGTTTTACAACTCTACCAAATGCTACTGTTCCTTCTTTTCACTAAGAACTGCTAGAATATAATATTTTCCTCTTTTTCCCCCCTTGCTTTGGATATAGAATATTCAGCCCATAGACCACAGGTACAACTCACTGTACGTAACTGAAGGTGATATTCCTTGAGTTTTTGTGAAGAGTTGTACAAAAGGACTCGAAATTGACTAATCACAGCCCCGGTTTCGAAATAAATGGCGGGGTAAAAGAGAGATTATCAATGGAGAGTTCTATGAGTGAATCTGGTATTTGGGCTTGGTGTTCGATGCGAATGTTGAGTTGGGTTGTGATATGCTTGCATCCTGTAAGAGGTGGAATTATAGAAGCGAATCATGTAATTCGATTGCAACTTATCAATCGTGCTCATTTTCTCTCCCAGGAGTGGCCATCATCATTAGAAGTCGAAGTTCTGGCACAAATAAGTCATTCCAGAAACTTGACGTTCCGCTTCCTAAAGCCGAAGATAAGAGGGAGAGGCAATGATGTTGAGAAACTTCCCATGACTTGACGTTTGTATTGCCTTTTCCTTGCTCTTTCATTGCCTATTGAGACGAGTAGTTCCACCGATTTTCTGTTCAGATTGGGGAGCACTGACAAGAAGAACCTGCGTTGAACTCTGCACTCGATATTGTTAAAACTTTCAGGACTGCCTTCAACTTGTGTGAAACAAGGATGGAAAGAAGGACACCAGACCATAGAAAAACTACTTGATAAAGCTCCTAATGCTGTTGTCGTACTAGTGGTGGATGTGGATGAGAATTTATTTGCATAAACATAAATTTTCGGTAAGGTGAAATTGCAGTAACAAAACCAGGGGCTCTCGCATGGTTGCATAATGTTGCCATAGGTATTAGTATGACAAATTGACAATGTATCGTGATGGCTCAGTCCACGGGTCTTCATGATTGAAGTGTTGATGCGCGTTTCGGCGAAAATCCGAAGCTCGTCGTGTGCGCCACGAGAAAAGTTTGCAGATCCATGGGATAGATAGCTCAAGCCAGTACCGAGAGATCCCCCATCAAATCGATCATTAGAGGTTGTGTGCCGTAATTTGAGTTGCATTATGACGCGCTACGTCCACTTAAAGATAAATTGTAAAGACTCTCTTCTTGATTTTTTGGATTCATTTGACAGTCCCCATGTTTTTGCAAAAGGCAGGACTAGGAAGAAACTCGAGATTCTTCGTCGATGCAACTACTGAATTCAGCTTTAGACTCGGATATGGTAGTCCATAACTTCCTGGATATGTATCTAAGATCCCGTGGGTGCAGTAGCGAGTAACTCCGTGTCCGTCACCGATGGGATGATAGTGGTCTCGGTGGATGAGATCGTAGAATTAATAGTGGTGGTGTTCGAACTGGCTGCGACTTCACTGCTTGTATGTGAGCACAGCCTCGAAATTGTAGGATCTTCTAGAACAGAGATGTAGCTAGCTACCTTTGATTTTTGTGACTCCCTTTTGATGCACTAACTCCAACTCCAATTCCAATTACCACGCAAACCACCATGAGAAAAACGCTAACAATCATTACCACCGTCTTTCTAAGAACTCCAAAGATCCTTTTGCCTTCGATTTGAATAGGTCTAGATTTGTCGTAAACTCCTAGCCCCGCTCCGTTATGTGGGGCTTGGTTTCTAGTTGAATATGCTACCTGTCCACGCACGACTGATTAGCATTTAGTTCTTCAAACTCAAATCTTAACTACCTACTGCAGTAAATTGTGCTTCATCGGCTTCTAATGTTGTCCATGGTTGTGTCATTTTGAGCGATCTTGCTACCCCGCGATGTTGAACTTTGGAGCCGGAAAGTGCTCAATCCTTGATGTCAAAATTATATAATATAAATCAAGATACTATTGATCCAGGAACTATCGTGACGCGGATGAAGAACAACAAACGGATTACATCTTAGAAATTGTGATAAGACAACTTTATGTGCCGCAGCCCCAAAATGCCAAGTCTCTCCTGGGGTAGTACTAAAGGATCTGATGCGTCTCGGCTAATTATCTGATTGGTGAAAACTGTGATATAATCTCTTAGGCGACCAATGAGGATGATTCCTTGGAGTAATGTAAGCCAAGATTCAAACATCCTTTTTTGATGGACACCCAGAATTGTATTTTCCAATCATCGATCTTCAACAGAAACATTATGTGGTAAGAAGCAATACCAAGAAAAGACACAAGACTTTGGATTGAACAATTGTTGCCTGCCTGGTTCCGTTCAATCTACAAGTTAGCAATTAATCTTATCTTGTATTTGATCTAGATGCCACGGAAGTCTCTCATGATATGTTGTTTCATGAGGTTTATGAGTAAAGTCGATGTCGCACGAGGTATCACTACCCCTTGTCAAAACTCACCAGGATTTCAAACTACAGGATCGTCTAATTTACCCCAGATTTAGGCTCGCTTTTCATCCCGCTCTCAATTTTAGCAATTCTTCCTTGCGGTATTTCCAAAGCAATTCTTGACAATTTTGGGAGAAAAGTCGGATTGATCTACTTTAGAATCGCTGTATTTGTTTCGTGTTCACCTGTTGATCAAAAAATCTGTTGTGCCCTGAAGGAATATCGCACAAAATTTGAAGGTGTATATACAATGAAACGGTGGAAATTCAACGATATACAAGATGAGATAGGTCAGACCCAGGATATTGAAGGATAAAAAGGAATGAAAAGTGCCATTTTTGGATTATTCCAAAATCACCGACCCCAATGGTATTCGTCATCCCCTCATACTTCAGATATTCATCTACTATTGATATGAAAGAAGTCTTTACGAGGAACCTTTTAGTCATATTTTTAGGAGGCGTTGACGATTTCTCTTTCTTTGTAGCGAAGAATATAATTTCAAACTCTTTTATTAGCAGGCCAAGAGGCTTACTTAATAATCTCCAGGAAAGACCAGATCGACCACGAATCCTTGGTGAAGCAATCACTACTCAGTGATGTGAATCATCTTATTCACTTCTGGAAATCTTATTCTAGGCCAACACTGCGCTTGTTTACCCCATTATCCACACGAAGAGAATCATGCAATTCACAGACCCAAAAGTTCTTCTCTTCAAGCTGCTCTACTTAAGGCATCCCTCATTCTAAGTTCCATACCCCATGAATTATTCTTGCAGATCCGAATCGAGAAATGCAAGTGCCTGATCGGATTAAGTGGCCGGGTTCAAACTTATCATGTAAATGGACTTTCCGGGTTTGAGAGAAGGGGGTGAAGGGTGAAAGGGTATCCAAGAGGCGTAATAGACAGAGGAAAGAAGGATGAGACGATATGTAACAGCAGAGAATTATCAGACCAAATTAATATTCCTCACCTCACCTACCATTCCTGTACGACTCCCACAGCAAATTGAGCATTGAAGCCGTGAGAACATAAATAATCCATCCATACAAGGCTCAAGAGGGATGCGAAGACTCAACACCTGTACGCGGTGCATCCTACGAACCTCCAGCTCTTATTTAAGAGTCTGCAGAGCTAAGATTGAGTTGCAGATGGAATCGGAGGGATAAGGGAAAAGAAAGGCTCCTGGAGTATACTGAAGGATTATATTTCGACTTGGCAATAACAATATCTACAAAGAGATGAATACCAGCGAAGAAACACAGATACGAAGGTTATGGAAACTCTGGTTAGATTCATATCTGCCATCCATTACTATCTATATAAAGATACGATATGCAAAGTTAGTCTCTTCTTTTTAGAAGAGTCTTTTTGATATAGAGCTTGCTATCGCTCTTTTTCGCAATACAACCCTTCCTTTATACTATCAGGATTCAGTCATTCGAATTCTATGACTTTTACAATATAGAGAATGCCATCGCTTTCGAATTAATTCTATACTCTGGGCATCGATATGATACAACGTTTTTCCTTCGATTTTCGAATTTTCGAATTTTTCGAATTGATTTGTGTATGGGCAATAGGGCTTAAGGTTCGGGTCCAGTTTTGCCCCACTATTTTCAATAGTTTCGACTATACATATCTAATAAGAACTAGAGGATATCAAGCTTATAAAGGTATACAAAGGGCTAGTAAGAGATAGAGTTAAAAGAAGAGTGGTGCCTTCTATTTTCATCTCACTAGCAGAAGGACCTTTTGTTATACTGGAGGCAACTCGGGAGGGGATAGCTCTTGCCCCTTATAGAAGAAAGGGATAGCAAATTGGATTCCAATCTTGGAAGAGGATTAGATATTGGGATGCTTTAATAGGATTAGGGGTAGAGGAAGAAAAAAAAGAGAAAGGTCTCAATGAATGAAGACATTATATCTCTATTGGCATTCCGAATAGAGATCGGGCAGAGCACCCCAACATTTGTTTTTTACTCCCCCAAATTGATTATATCCATTGTAGATATCACTAGCAGTGCTAGGCCCTTAAAGCCTAGCCCGTCCTATATAGTCTTAGACTGAAGCTGGACGTTAATTCAATCAATCAATCAATCAATCTCGCTTTGTTGATTCTTTTTCTGCCGATTGATAAGTTTCTGGGGGTGTACTTCTCGCATGTAGTATCAAGTTGATACACATTCTGTATCTTATGTAGCGTTTGATTCCTGGCGAGTACGAGAACCTATATACATGACAATCTGATATTCGTGGATCTGGATTAACATTAATGCTTCGCTTGTTGAAGACAAGAACAGCTTATAATCCATCCATTCATTCACTCAGGAAACTGTTTCCATTGCCAGGGCCGCTCTTATTCTCTTATTCTCTTCTCCTTCTTGGACTCGTCCACTACTAGTATCATCTAATTCACTTCAACCCCCTCCTTTCTCGTCTCCCCTCCCCTCTCCTCCCATTCCCCATTCCCATTCTCATCCCCAGCTCCAAATCCCACCTCCCCTATAAATAAACCCGCATTAAGATCTCCAATTGATCTCTATCCATTTCGCATACCTATAATCTCATATTTTCAAGATTCTGTCTAGTTCCAACCTCACACCCAAGAAACACGAACTACAGTCTACCTATGTATCCCATGAATATTTACCGCTAAATAGCACAATACAGCGGGATTTAGCACTGTGATATTACAATCAACATCCCAAAAGCAACAACAAAAAGAAAAGAAAAATAACACAATTAAACAACCCAACAATAACAAAGAAACTCTCAAATCACTATAAACCCAAATACTAATACCCTCTCACCCTCTCCTATTCCCATTGCATACCTCCTCCCATCCCCAAACTTCTCCACCCCAAGACACTCCATCCATTATCACAACTTGACCAGCTTGTTTTTTTCTTCGGAAACCCATCATCACGAACCCAAAATATTCTCTCCATTCACTGATCCTCATCCATCTACACTTGAATATCAACAACGACTATCAAAAAATTCACCAAGCCTCCGCGATCCTTCGTCGCTCATCCATCTCCTCGTATCAACCCTCCCGTGTAAAATAGGAAGAGGAAGATTCCATAAATCCATATCCTCAACCTTCTCCTTCCCTATCATATCATATCCATATCCACAAACCCACAAACCACAAACCCAAAAATCCAATCGCGATAATCCCAATCCCTGCACCTCGCTACCCATCCCGTCCCATCGATCGATCGATTTCTATCTACCTAGATATATCATCGTGAAAATATACTCTATACTCGTACATGGAGCTAAGATATTCATTTTGAAGAGCAAGGAAAGAGAGTAAGGAGATATATATACACATCCTCACCCTTCCCTCAACCCCTCGCCCTCACCCCTCCACACAAAAACCCATCCATCCATCCATCCATCCATTCCATCCATCCATCCATCCATCCATCCATCCATACATTCCCCTCCAACAACAATCCACAAATCCACAAACTCTCTCACACACTTCCATTTTCTGCTTCCCATTTTACGAATATGAATAATAGTGAATGATATAAGTCAATTCAATTCGACACAACACAACATGACCTAACCACCTAATACTCGTACCCTCAAATGAAATCCCGCTTATACATCTTCTATTTCTATACTAATTCCAATTCCAAGGAGCTGGGATTCGAGTATTAATCTATTTATGTATGGATATGTATGTAGAAATTATTTATTGGGGTTTGAGTATGGTGGATTGGTTATGTATGGAATGGATAGGATAGGATAGGGGGTATTTGGTAGCTGATATAATGAGAGGGGGTTTTGGGGGTTGGGTTTGAGTTTGGGTTTATAGGTGAGGATGGGGTTGGGGATGAGGAGGGGAGGGGAGATAACCCAGGGATGCGAGAATATTAGCATAGATGAGAGAGACATATGAAGAGAGATAAATACTCGAATCAATTGATTGTATACCGGTACTATTAGGTGTATGATAGATTTTGATGATTTGAGCAATGAATCTCCGATATCGCATGAGTATCATTTGTCAAGTGATAGCTATTCTACATTTGTTTCTACAATTGAAGAAACATGTAAAATCCAGCGTGGAAAATTGTGGTAAAAACCAGTAAAGGAAAAGTGTGACAAAAGCATGAATCGCTGTTTCTAGAGGTGGAAAGAGAAGGGGGAAAAAAGAAGAGGTTACTCATACTACCTATCAACCGACATCAACTACCCCGACTCAAACCCGACAATGAAATTTCTAACTATGAAGTAATCCTCATCCCCATCTCCATCATCATCACACAGCGATCTACACTCAATCATTCTCAACATTCCCCAACCCGATTGTCGGGAGCAATCCGTCATCTAGGATTTAACATACGCAAGAGCCAAGAAGCGAGCATTATTAACTAAACAGTGGCAATCGCGATATCCAAAGACGACTACAACCTCGATGTTAGTGTACGGTTTATTCCATGAAGATCAACTTGTCATTCTCGAACTTTCAACGTTCAACACCTACATCATGGAAAGAAAAACCGGCATGACATAACTGATCAACATCAATACCAACACCAACACCGTTACTCTCCAAACTTCTGACGTACGCCCTCCCCACAGAGAGCTGCGAAGGAAGAATTTTTTTTTCTTTCTTCCTGGAATGATTCTTCCAGATTCCGAAGAAGATATGCACTGTCATGCAGCCTTGCAGTAGGGCTTACACTAGGGCACTGCTAGCTAGCATCCGGATATCCACAATTACCCTCATCAAGTTCCATAAGGCCGACACTTGACGGTTTGGCATTCGGTGAGCAGATTCCCAGTTTATGGGGCCCCTCGGTTGAGGAAAATCTGCAATTCTAGACCGAGTAGTTCACATGCCATGTGGTTATTGGGCTAAGTGTCGAAACGTACCCCACCACTCGAGCCGTTTCAATCGCACAATTGATAATCTAATCGATAACCTAATTGATAAGCTGCTAGTGGTTACCCGACAGGACATTGTACGGAGTAAAGTAACTACTAAACAGGCGCTACGCACTACGTGGACAGCTTGTGTGTATGCGGAAAACAAAGCTTGGATCCGAATGGTGTGCGATATTCTCGGGTCCAATGTACGATGTACTTTACTCTAGACCCCATCATCCTGTGCGAGAAAGAATTCTTACAAAGTTCGGAAACTTCCGCGTTGACAGAGACAGAGAGTCCAAACAATTCCTAATGCTTCAGCAAAAGAACCCGAGCATCTTCCACATTTGTGCAAGGTAACCTCAAAGTTGTGTCTTTTGCATCTAACTTCAAGCATATTACGTATACTCCAATCCTAAGACTACCTACTAGGTAATAGACGCCTACTTGACTTCTCACTCCAGTCCCGAGCCATGAATCTCGTAATGCTCCTGTAGATATTTTGGGAAATTGCTCGTAAAGGATGGAAAAGGTTTCGATATCACAAAAAGCTTGAAATCCAAAGTGGAAGAATAGGCGGGAAACAGAGGTGGCGGAGTTAAGCTTTCAAGGATGGAAAGGATGGATAGGGTCTTTTGATTCTGCACAGAGAGGATTTTCTCGTACCTAACATTAGCAACGGATAATATTCGGGTCTGTGCGAGCTTCGTATTGTATCACATGATTTGCGTGGAGATATTTTGAGATCGTATTGGATTGTTTGATAGAGAATGCGAAGGCACGGTTGAGATTAATGGGATTGATGTTGTGACTGTGATTTAACCGTGGATGAAAGTTTGTAAATGGAGTTTGCTTGTGCTTGATCGTGTTGTCGTGGTCGATATGTGAGTCTCGTCTCATTTTTACACGTGATATTACCATTGGCTGTTGGCCATGAAGTTTCTTTCCCGCGCGGTCTCGACCATTCGCCCACCGATGAAACCAATCGGTGTCCGTAGCAGCACGAGCGGTGTTACTTGCCGTTTTGCTGAAAGACGGCAGAGTAGCTGATAGATAGCCGGGCAGTCTTGTTGCATATTCCGGGGCACTCATTGACCAGTCGATTGAGAGAGTAGAATGCTTGACATGGATTGATCTGACGGACTCCGTAGGTAGGTCTTCGGATATTCACATGTTCCAAGTTCTGGGCATCGTAAAAAGTATTGCTTTCGTGGGCCATGGCAGAGCATGACAAGAAACACACAAGCCGTCAATTTCATTCATGTTTCTCAGCGTCGTATTTGGGAAATCAGACCAGATCAGAAGAGAAAAGGAGCTTGCAATTGAGTCTTGACGAGAGAGAAATGTTTCAAAACCCTTATCTTAAAAATCGAATTCTAATGTTCATCCATTGAAGGCTTTGAAGGAAGATAATCCTACGCAGAGGACCATTCGCAATCAAAGTAAGGTTTTACCATCCGGAAATAAAGTTATGGCTGTGTTCATCCCAATCTACCTTGATGATTATGCAAGGTACCCGATCTGAGATTATTTTTATTCTCGTGGATGATACGAGGAGTGAGAATGCTACCGACACATTGATTGATTGATTGATTGAAAGATGACGATAGCTTCAACATGAATCAAATTGTCAATCATGACGATAATCCGAGAAATGAAATTGAAGAGAAACAAGTCATCTCATCTCCCGCGTATTTTGAACCCCTGATGCGGTTTTTATCGATAATGAAAATGTTGATAACACGGACACATGTGAAATGGGGGGAAGGGTAGGTAGGTCGTTGGTGGCTTCACAACACTTTGATAGGGCTTTGAACTTTTCAAGAAAGTCATCTTCACATACCGTAAGACCCTCTCTCGGGAGATTCGGGAATTGATTGAAGTTTGGAAGAAGAACATGGCGTTATGGATTGGATGAATTGAATGAATGGGTTGAATTAGCAATTGGCATCATATCATATCATATCATATCACATTACATCCCACATTTGCGTTACCAACCACTTTACGATCCATACTGAGCACTAATGAGAAAGTTCTCGATTCGTTCCTTCATACTCTTCCGCTCTATCGGGGATGCAGATGCAGACGCGGATGCAGATGCAGGAGTGAAAAGTCTGATGGAGGATTGATTATCTCAGGTAGGCTAGAGGCTAGAGGCTAGAATAAGAGAATACAGGTAGGTACCTATGTAACTATGCATAATTAGCTTGCATGCGTGGATTATTCTTTTCGCAAACTGTACGGTACGTCTGCATAAAAAGATTGATTGATTGATGGTAAGTTTGTCAAATCTTGAGTCTTGAGTCGTGACAACTCAGCTCATGGAAACGCGTTTGCTGGCGTTTTAGCTTGAACCTGCCATGCTATGCGATGGGTAAAAAGTTCTCTTTGCTTTTTCATCATGCAGGGGAGATCACACCTAGAACATCATACATACATATACATCTCACTAAGGCACTCAGGATTCCAGGTAGAGGCTGACTACGAGATCTGATTGGATGGCACTGATGAAACGGGATATTTCGTACCTGGCTAAGCATTTTCACGACCAAATCTCTGGGTAATCTTGTTATCCTATTGGAGTAAATTTTGGACGGTTGTATCACTAACGGACCGCTCCCTCTGTACGGAGTAGGGGATTTTTCAGGGGCAATTGCCTAATCAATAAAACTTGTACCTCGCTGACTCTTGTACTCTGTCTCTAGGTACTCTACAGACTGACTGACTGACTGACTGAGCCTTGGGAAAAAGTTGGGTCCAATGCATTTTCTTCTCGTGGTAAGTGGAGTGAAAATGGAGAAGAATGAAATCATCATGGGAATCAGTATCTCGGGAATTTCCTGGTGTTAGAAATTGAGCGAATAATCTAAAACATCAACGAAAAAGAAATTGCCATTTTATATCGTGGTATGTGAGGAATATGCTGAGCCTCCCTCCATCTGGGTACATTCCTAAGGGTTGTCAGGTAGCCAGGGAGGTCATTACATGGCAAGACACTTTGAAGATTGTCAATGGTGATGTCCTTCATGCCAATAGTGTTCCATGAAACACAATGCCGATGGTATGAACCAGTCTCGAGCCGGTCTCCAGTCTCCAGTCTCCAGTCTGTCTGCATGCCAGTTCTGTCAGACTCTCCCTCCCGTGGAAGCGATTGAACTGGAACGAGTTAAACTGCGGCCTAGGTGTTGGTATTCCTAGATCCATACGTAGGCAGTAGAAAGAGAAGAGAGAAAAAAGGTAAAGAATTTGAATAAAACATTGACATTTAATTGGTTCATGATCCTTGAGAACATTACCCAGAGCAACTAGAGCAACAAAACAATACCCATACAATCCAATTTCACTGCATCGTACCTGGCAGCTTGGCTTGGGTGATGATTATTCACTTTTTTTTCATCCTAGCTTAAGTTTGAAGTCCCAGTCTCTCAGTCTCCCATACATCCCCGACCACATTGCCCAAGTGCAAAGCTCCACTTATAATTGGTCAATCACGGCTTGTATCCTTGTCGCCCCACACTTTTCCCTTCCTTCCCTCGTGTTTTCCTCTGAATCATGATCACTAACCTATTGTGGTAAGACCGCCCTTAGCATAATTTACACAACTCTAGACTTCTTCCTAATGAATAGTGAATATTATTCATCATCGGCACATCTCTTTTCTCTCGCTCACTCTTTCATACATAATCCATCAACATCACACTCACTCACTTCCTCTCATTCCTTTTGAAAGATCTCAAATCCAGAATCTGATTAGTATCTGTCAATCCTTCAGAATACTACATTACACTCCTTCTTCCCTTTCTAAAAACAACAGCCAGCCTGTTCAACTCGTCCCACTCACTGCCAGTCAGCCTGAAGCCTTCTTAAAGAATTCATCTCCCTCCACAACCACACATCACTGTCAAACAAACATCTTCTCACTCCCACATTCTTTACTTCAGCCCTACTCACCACCGAGAAATATCAGCTTTCTCACTCCTTCCTTTAAAGATCGATATCAAATCATTGAAATTGCAAGCCATTTTCACATCACACTCCCTCGAGGCTTCAGTTGAATTTCAAACTTGAGTTTTTGTTTCCAAGATTCAATCCAAAGATACCCATACCCAATAAACAATTTCTCACGAACAATAAAACAAACAAATCACCGCCAAAATGAAGTACACAACTGCTATCCTTTCTGGTCTCTTGGCCGCTACCGTTGTAGCTCAACCACACGCCCGTCATCAACATGCCGCCAGACACGAAAAGCGAGATATTAAATGGGTTACAGAACTCGAGATGGTCACCGAGACAATCGACTATACCACCACCGTCTGGGTTTCTTCTGGTGAAATAGCTGCTGCAACCAGCAGCGCGGCTCCATCTGTTACTCCTACAACTTTGGCAACCAAGCCAAAGTCATCCGCCGCTTCTTCCACTTATATTCCAAAGTCTACTGCCGCAGCCAGTAGCTCTGAAGGAGCTGTTCTCAACCAACAACCAAGTTCCTCATATGTCGCACCATATGTTGCACCATCTTCTTCCTCTGTCGTTTCCGTCGCTGCTCCATCCACCACCTCCGAAGTTGTAGTCCCAACTACTTCTTCTACCTCTATCGCACCAGTTCCAACCAGCTCCAGTGTCGCGCCGGTCGTGGTCCCAACTACCTCTAGCGTCGCGCCAGTTGTCGTCCCATCCTCAACCAGCGTCGCACCAGTCGTATCTTCAGTCTCAAGCGTTGTTGCGCCAGTCGTCTCCTCAGTCTCAAGCATTGTTGCTCCAGTTTATGTTGCATCCCCAACCAGCGCGGCTACCCCAGCATCAAGCTCTCCTGCATCAGGTTCTTCCTCTGGATCTAGCTCTGGAGTCTGCCCCCCCGGATCTCCTTGCTCTGGAGATATCACTTTCTACGAAGCCGGTCTCGGAGCTTGCGGAATCACTACTGATGGATCCAGCTTTGCAGGTGTTGCTCTTCCAGTTGGACTCATGGGTTCCCTTTCAAACAGCAACCCATACTGTGGAAAGACAATCACTATCAAGTGTACCTCTACTGGTAAGACTACCCAAGCAACCGTCATCGACAAGTGCATGGGATGTGAGGGTAACTCCATCGATCTCACCAACTTCGCCTTTGATCAACTTGCTGAAGAAGCTGTCGGCCGTACTCAAGCCACTTGGTACTTCAACGAATAAATCACCCAATCCCTATTTTCTCGACTTTCACAACTTTGATATTCTGGTTTCTCCAAATACTCAAAATTAAGTTAAGAACTCAATTCTTATTCTCCTGGATATAACTATCGCCAGTTTGATACAACAGAAAGAGTAGATCTCTTTCTCATCTGTGGCTTTTGCATCATGGCTTCTTTTTGAAAAAGATAGTCGACGAATTTCTTTGGGATATCACATCATTGGGGTGCTTTTTATTCGTGGTTGTTGGTTTGGTTCATACTTTGATTTTTGGAGAATTTTACGAGAGTTTGAGGGGAAATATCTATGCATGGAATGGTTATGAACATGGTCAAATCATCGCATTACTTGTTTGGCTTGGCGTTTTTTAAAACCCCGCCATGGGACTTTACGTTCATACGGTCTTCGAGAGGAAAAAGGAGCACATGCATTTCGCGATACCATAACCATGTTATGCAATGGAAAAGACAAAAGCTTGAGGCAAAGGAAGGTGGGTGGATGTTTCATATCGAAAAGCAAAACTTGAAAAAGGCAACATGAAAATGGAGATATATTCAGAGATAAAACAAAATGAAACCCCTTTCGGAAAGGAAATAGCTTCTTGTACATACATATTACTTTGCGATAGACTTAGTGTTTTGATTTAACACGAAATTTGCTATGAATTTTTCATACACACATATCGCTTTCTTATTAGATTTTGAATTACTTGTGATTTGATGATTTATGATTGATTGACTGACTGACGGACTGCTGATCGCAATTTCGATCATGCATGCGCATGAGGGTCTGTGATATAAGATGGATGGATAGATGAGTTAAATATACTACGAAGTATGCACTTAGGTACCTAAGTGAGTATTATTTGTGACTTTTGCGCATAGCGTATTCTGTACTTTTTTTCTTTCTTTGCGGGTGGCTGTGGTTTTTTGGGGGTGGCTGGCTGGTTGACTGACGGACTGACTTGGAAGTGTGGGAGAAGGAGGGAGAGGGAGAGGGAGAGGGAGAGGGAGAGGGAGAGGGAGAGGGAGAGGGAGAGGGAGAGGGAGAGGGAGAGGGAGAGGGAGAGGGAGAGGGAGAGGGAGATGGTGTGATGTTGATCTTGATATTGTATCTTAATCCCATCTACTCTTATTAATCCCGAAGTCCTTACCACTCAACCCTCAACACTCCTATCTTTTCCTCTCTCAAAAATTTCATACGTCATCTATATCTTAAAAGTTGAAGAGTTGAAGAGTTAGCAAGATAAAAATTACAATCGCAAGTATCACTGCACAAATCAACATTCTCCAAGTCCAAGTCCAAGTCCAAGTCCAAGTCCAAGTCCAAGTCCAAGTCCAAGTCCAAGTCCAAGTCCAAGTCCAAGTCCAAGTCCCAAGTCCAAGTCCAAGTCCAAGTCCAAGTCCAAGTACAAAACAAAACGGGTATAATTTACTAAAAACTAAGGATGCACATAATCCTCTACATCCACCCGATCCACTTGACCTCTCCATTATCATTCGCATCCTCTTCCCAATCATCCTATTCCATTAAACCCAAGGTCAAACTATCAATCTAGCATCCTATTACTACCGATTTAAACTTAATAACCCCTCAATATACCTCTTCGTATCTAACCCTAATCCCGCAGCTCCCCACCCTCCATCCGCCGTACTTCCTGTCCCTGCTCCTTGACCACCCATTCCCCACCCCGCATATCCATATCCGTAACCTCTCCCTTGTCCCGCCTCCATATAATCACTCGCCCTCCTAAGTAGAAAAACCTCTTTATCCATATTCCTTTCCTCTGCCCCTCCCTCAGCACCACCCTCATCCAAGAACGGATGTGCAGGCCCACTAACTACTGTACTCTGTGTTTGCGCTTTACTATTTGCCTTGATGCTCGCATCCATATCTTTATTCTTTCTTCCCTTATCACTTAACTCCCCCATAAAAGTTCTACTCGTTTCACTTTCCGCCGAGTTCTCGGGTATAAGTGACGGAATGTTGACTTTTGACGTCGAATTTGTTGTTGCTTCGGGAGGTGCAGGGGGAGGTGCAGGAATGCGAGTCCAAAGAATCCAATAACCTCTTGATGTTTTAGCCGTACGTTCCAATGTATTCTGATCAGTAGTCGTAGCAATATATGTATGCATGATTTGCAGATGTGTATTTAGAGCTTCGATTCGAGACCAAGGGAGACTATCCGCTTGTTCTTGTGTTTGAACTTGCTGAGGATCGGGTATATTAGGGATGTTTGAGTCGAGAGTTAAAGTTTTGGGGTCCCAGAGAAGATCATATATGGGAGCTGTTGGATTCTTCGTATTTGCAAGAGGAGAAATCGGGACTTCTGGTTTAGGAGCTCGAAAAGATGTGGATTTGAGAAGAGGTTTGATGAGAGACTTGAGTTGTTTATGAAGAGAACGGTATAAACCCTTCAAAGCTAAGGTATCTGCTCGTAATTCAAAAAGGAAAATGAATATGAATGGTTTGCTTGCATAAGCCACGATTCTTAACTTTTTCACTTTGTTTCGATCTTGACTTTCGAATGAAGCATTAGAATGGCCTGTACCTTCCGAACCGCTGGCATTTTTGAATGATGTGCCAAAGTTTGAATAATCAATACTGATATCAGCTTCCTGGCGAGCATCTTCTTCACGTTCTAATTCTACGGTTAACGTACGGAGTACAAGTCGATGGCTTTGGCCCTCGAGATCTTCGTCTTCATCGTTAGAATCCACGAGTAAAGTCATTTCACTGTCCATATCACCCATTAGACCTACTAAGTAATGTCCTTTGGAATCGTCGGACTCCTGTATGGGTGTTGATGTTCCAGTTGTACTGAAAATACCATCAATCGAAGAAACAAGGGTAGATGTGTTACTCGAGGGTCTGCTACGCTCTTCTTCTTTTGCTGCAGATCCGCCTAAAGACCAATGAGTTCCATAACCGAATTTCAAGTATTGTGCAAGCTTGTTGCCCTTCGATTCACCATCTGTGCTTTCTGTGCCTTCGGTACTTGTATGACTGGCAGGATTTCTGCGAACTTTCGGGTATGGCGGTACGGATTTGAGTCTGGGTTGATCAATTTGATCATCTTGTTCGACCACCGGTCTAGGCTCAATCGTACTGATACTTGAAGATCGACTAGGCGCAGGTCCATCGTTAGGTCCATCATGAATTGGTATCTCCTTACTGAGACTAGATGTTGGTCGGGCAGTATTCTTTGCATCTCCAACTTTTGAGTCAAGTCTTGGCCTGGGCTTAGACTGTTTTTTTGCGCGACGGATGGAAGAGGGGTTGTCAAGAACTCCATAAGCGTATGGACCCCACTTATAAAGATCCTCAACCCAATGCGAAATATCTCTAATTGATTTTCTTGACAAAGCTCCAGTACCGAGAAAAATTGCACCATCTTCTGCGGCGGGTTCATTTCCAGAACCCAACCAAGGAGCAGGTTGCTTGGGGCGATCGGTAAAGCCTTTACTGGTATCTTCTTTCGAATTCGATCGCGCTTCTCCGAATCTTGAGACTATCACGTCTACAAGCCCATCCATTTGTCCAACGAATCCTTCAAGGACTTCTCTCTCACCACTGCCCCTTTCTTCCTCTCCGACTCCAACCCCAAGTTCTCCGCATGCAGCAAGTTTTATCCCCCCATACAAATTGTTGGCAGGATTTCCATGCATAAGTACATTCCATGTCGAGATATATGTGTCCCAATATCTACCCAGAATGCTCACAAATTTGGAGCGCTTCGTTCGAACAAAGAGAGCGCTCATCGAAGCAGCATGATGGAGGAGAAAAGTCGAGTGTGCTCTCAATACGTCTGCCAGGAGCAGTATCGCAGGTTTAACTTCTCGAGAAGAATATTCGACGGTTGCTTTTTCTTCGGAAGGTTTTCCTTTGGTAGCTGGTGTCTTTGCTGTGCCCGGCAATATCGTGAGGTTGATCGACTATGCATGTTAGCACAATGAAGAAACTCAAGAATGAAAGTTACTAACAGCCAATATCCACCAGCCAGATTCTAATTCATGAAGAATAATGCGAGATTTCTCAGTCTCGATAGTGTTCACTGATCTACCCTCAGAAAAACTCCTCCCAAATTCTACCATTCCCTGAGCAAACCCAATCTGTCTCAATTGTTCATTCTTTGCCTCCTTCGCCAAAGCGCGCGCCTCTTTCGTACCCGTAAGGGAACTTCTCTTGCGCTCATTTTGCTTGATCGAGGGGTAATAATAAACAATTTGATTGTCGAGTGTATCATCGGTAGACCCTAAGGAAGGATTGTAGATGGCTAGAAAGCCTAATTGCGCGGGTACTACCTTTCGGTTTTGCTCAGACATTGCATGATTAAGGCATTCAACGAGAGAAAGACGAGGATATAAATATATTGTAGATCATTTATTGATTGAATCGCGTCGGTCAGTTCTTGAATTGGCGTGGAAGTAAATGTCCGGCTATGGGGAAGCTTAATGTTCATTAAGGTGATGTAATTCGTGGGTCAAATGCATGGCACAGAACATGCGATTTTAGGCCGGCTTACATAAAATATCAAAGAGTTGTGTGCACGTGATGCGAAAAGATCAGTATGGTGAAAGCAGCTCGAGAATCGTGATTGAAAGAAGTCGTCGGCTTGACATCGACAATGTATAGCGTAAACTGAACTTGTTCTGACCGCAATTTTCCACAATCATGAAGCTCAAAGCCAGAACATCTCTAGCTGTACTCGGACGGATTGTACACCCATCGAAGCCATTTTCCATCCATGGATTCCATTCTCGACTTTTCACAATAAACAGTACCTCAAAATCCTCGAAACTCTCAGCACCTTTGAGAATTTTGTTTTGTGGTTCTGATGAGTTTAGTTGTGAGTCTCTTCGGTCATTGGTGGCAGAGAAGAGGTCAGATCCAAAAGGAATTGCTTCTATCGATGTTCTCGTTCGACCAGGTAAGAAAACTGGAAGAGGCATGAAAGAGACCCGTGAAGGTAAGCTTCAAATTTTGTCGTCAGTTCTTCGTTATGCATGCTGATCATTGTCAGTACCGTTGAAGAAATTGGCCCAAGAATTAAACCTCCGCATACATGAGAGAGACACATTCACCGGATGGGATGTAAGTTTTAGTTTTCGGATCTGCATTTCATTCTTTAAAAACCTTGACTGATGATCGACTTTATAGCTACCGAAACCAAATGGAGAACCAATCAATCTTATCGTAGCGGTTTCATTTGGCCTCTTCGTCCCACCACGCATTCTCAACAGTGCTGAATATGGCGGAATTAATATTCATCCTTCACTTCTGCCACAGTGAATTTTTCCAACGCCACTTATATATACCTAGGCTGACCATGATATATAGATATCGAGGATCTGCTCCACTCCATCACACTATCATGAACGGAGACACAATTACTGGTGTCTCACTTCAAACTTTAGATCCACACAAATTTGATCATGGCGCCATTCTCTGTCAAGAGGGTTTTCCCATCCCACAATCTCAATCAATAAGGTATCAAGGTCTCCTGGAGTTGGTCACACCTAAGGCAGCGAGTTTGCTTGCAAAGGGTATCAGAGATCGAGTCTTCATGGACCCAAAGCCAGACCAAGGACTCAAACTTGCACACAAGATTAAACCAACTGATAGATTCATTGATTTCGAGGAGGGATTGTCTATCAATGTTGAGCGAAAGTTCCGAGCACTGGGGCGACTTTGGTGCTATACTCGTACTTGGTGGTCTGGCAAGAACAAAAAGAGGACAATATTTGAAGATTTTGAGGTTGTACCAATGCCAAAGCAATCTGGCGTGATTCCAGAACAGGTGCTTTTGACATTGCCAAAGTGGGAGTACTTTTGTACTCGGGTGTATGAGGATCCTACTCATCCAGGATCTATTATCATTCCTACGGTTGAACCAGGTGTGGGACTTCGAGTTAAACATATCCTCGTAGAAGGTCAGGTGGTGGGTTCAGCCATTGATGCTATGCATAGAGTATCAGCTTTCACCAAACATCCAGGGGACGATAAGGATTTGTTCATGGCTGTAGCATTGACAGATATGTCGGAGGATGGTAAACAATTGGTTTTGCGCGATGGCAAAGGCTCTGAGTATGCAGCGAAGCACCTGGTTATCCCCAAGGTGCTCAAGATCAACAGAGCGCGCCACATTGACCCCTCCCCCAAGAATCCAAGCCCCCTGGATTGAGATATAATTATCTAGATGTATAATAGAATAAAAATTCAAGCAAAAAATCCTGAAATCCGATGGTATGTAGTGTATCATCTCCTGCTTCAGGAGTTGGAGGTAATGATTTGACCCGCGGAAGATAGGTGGCAGGGTTGAAATGCCTTCGAAGCCTTTGGGGGATGGGGAAATGTTGATTTTGTGGCATTCGAGAATCTGGAATCATCTGGCAAACACCGAATAGGCACGAGCTCGGGAAGCATACGATATTAGAAAGCAGGGAGGAGAAAGTCCAAATAAATGGTGTAGTTCAGAGACAAACCAACACATTGCCGAGTACGAGAAGAGTGTTGTAGTCCTTGTCTGATACTCCCTAGAAACAAGACTTCTCGGTATGTAAGGCTTACGAGGAACAACGATGGCGCATCTTCTATAGTGAGGGGTGAAAGATCTCCGTTGCTGAAATCGAGGAAAGTTGCTCGATCAATACCTGACAAGCACCAAACAAATGGATCTCCAAATTGCTGGGATAGGGTGAAGCAATAGCTAAAGCATATGTGTATTGAGGACGGAGAAAAGTGTAATAATCGATGCCGAGAATAATGATCCAACTTTAGTTCATTAGGCAAAAGAGATGATTTTTCTTCCATTGTTGTAATTGAACTGTAAAATGGCCCCTCTGTCTGGCACATTTGATCCGTCTGGTGCTCCCAAAGGAGGCTACTTTTCATTGCTTAGGATAAAAAGAGCAGACCAACCAGCGCATAATGGGCGTTAAGAAGACAATGATTGCGATTGTCAAGTATAAGAGACAGAGGTTGTCGATCTATCTGGTTTCTCAGGGACAGCACAAGATCGATTGCTTAATCCGAAAGATGCATTTGATTTGCCCAAAACCGCACTAAAAACGAAGTAGTTCCCACTGCTGTAACGATGTCGAGTAATGATTGATTCGTTCTGTGCTCTTAAGGGACGAAATCGTGCTATCGTTGAGAACAAGAAAATTGATTCGATTCGCGTTTGGTAGGCGGCAGAGAGAGCATATGCTTGATATCTAGATGAAAAATTGGAGACTGCTTATCGTAAAGTAAGATCCAGAGACGAAATCGTCGAAACCGTTCGAATGGCGACGAGAAGGTGAGAGATCCGAACCAGATATCAAGAGACGAGACGCTTTACGATCACTAAGGAAATGGGAATGACCTAAGCCTTAGCTGATAGGCCTGAGGGATGCTTTATACTGGATGCAAGAAGGGAGGGAAGGATCTAGTCAATCGGTTTGATCTATTTGAAGACGAGATCCTCCCCAGGACCGGAAGTAGACGAGAAAATGGTGGAGCTCTTCTAGCGTCTTCAAGACGAGCACTTTCAAATGCTGCAGAAGGAAGTGTTAAATATAGTCCAGTAGTCTGATAGCTTCAAAGATCTTTCGTAACACTGTTGCAAAGAAAAAGCAGAGCAGAATCCATCTGGCGCTTCCGAAATGATAATAAGTCGAAATAGGAGAGAAGAGGAGAAAATATCAGAATAGCCTAGCAAATTCAAAGACGAGCCCCTTCGTAGGGCCGGAGCAAAGTGAGAGGAGAGTAGCAACCGTCTGGTACCTCTATACCATGAGCTATTAGATGGTTTCAAGAAAAATGGAATTAACTCGACCAAATTGATGAATCTTGAGGTGAGATTCGTAGCAGGTCCAAGGAGCAGCGAGAATATGGTAAAATCCGTCTGGTGCCCCCAAATCGAAATAGTCCTATGCCAAAACAAAGACAGCAACGTGATAGATTCTCTTGATATCTTCGAAAGCAGAAGTGTTTCAACGGCATCGTTAAATCCGAAATTGGTCAGAAACTGTCTCGTCAATCCAAAGCGAGAGGGCTCAGGTGCTGCTAAGGAAGAAGAAAGTATGCCGAGTTCGTCTGGTAGCTTTGAGCACGACATCGCTCCAATGGAAGGAGTAAGACGAGAAAATTTGGTGGAAATCGCCTGGTATCTCTAATGGCGATAGGGGTTCGACGGAGAAGCAAAGATAGTATCTTTTCCGTGTCTAATAGGCGCCAGGGAGGAGAAACAATCGATGCCGATAGAAGGGGAATAGAAGGCTGGTGCATGTGGTGGAACCAAGACCGGAACCATTCGAATCTTTGCGATAATGTAATGAAAGCGTAAAGAGTCGTCTAGTCTCCCGTGAGGACGATCGTGTGAATGCTAAAACGTAAAAATGTCACAAGCTGCCCTGAAGTTTTGCCAGAGCTACAGGGAGAAGATGATAGTAAATAGTTCCAGGGACTGTACATTGAAGCTTTTCGGGAGTACGATAGTACAGTAGGAATTGTCGAATGACCTTGGACCGTCTTCGGGTCTTCTCGCGAGCGGAAGAACGGTGTGGTGTGTCGATTAAAGAAATATGATTGTCTTGTCTGGAGAAAACTGGGCGATCTTGCGCGTTGTGTACCTTGCGAAGAGAATCTAATCTTTCGGAGAAAGCCCTAATCGATGATAGATAGCTCACAAGAAACGACGTCGCACGAAGAATCATCCGCAGCTTTCTCATTTAGACCTTGGACCGTCTTCTAGCCTTCTCGGGAGCAGAAGTTCGGTGAGGATTGTCGATTAAAGGAAGAGGAGGGGGAGAAGGAGGTTGGAGAGAGGAGATGCGATACTCGTATTGGCTGAATAAGACTGAGACGACCTTGCGCTTACTATGCCTTGAGAGCAGACGTCTCAAGGACTGAATACGCACGAAGAATCGCCAGTAGGTCTCTTAGTTGCCCAGAGACGAGGCTGCGATTTGACAGAAACGAAAGAGAGGCGAATGATGAGACCGTTTGGTATGATCAAGTGACGGTAAAGCGATTGCGAGGATCGAGACGGTAAACTATCAATGTGAGGAAGTAGGATAATGAGGGTTGTCTAATTGAAATCGCTCGGCTGATCGATCGATCTCATTGCTCTCGGCAGGCGTTCCCGGAAGATTCCCCTGAGCTTCTCAACATCCAACCCCATGTTTCGAATCTCTGCGTCAGTCGGTTCCTTGTAATTTTCCAAGAGGATATCGCAAAATACCCCCCAATCTCTGCCAAGTTCGATTTTCGGGTAGATCCACCCTTCCCCTCCCAAAGGATCACGAGTTGCTTGCTCAATGGCTTGCGCAGCTTCTGAAAATTGGTAGCATGCGGAGCGTAAATAGTTCCAAGTCCATCGCGTGGATACTTTGTATACATCAATTGTATGGCATGCACCATCTCATGGGCAAGGGTCCCCAGCATTTGACTTATAACTTCGTGGCAGTGCCGTCCAGGGTATAAAGTGACTAAGTCCAAGATGTATATGGTTACACGGTTGATTCTGCCGTCGAAAATGCCTTTGGCGAGACCTAAATTGAGACCCAAGCCATTATCCAAAATCGACTCAACCTCCCTGGCTCGAACATCATCAGAGACCAAATGAAGGTCGAAGATAATCTTGATCTCGTCGTCAGCGGATTCTTCCACGACAGAGCTTTTGACCATTCCTCCGAAGAACAATTGATTATAGATCCTCGTATAAGTTGCAAGGACAAATTTGGTGTCTTGGATGGTAAGGACAGTTTCGGTGTCTTGGATGGAGGCGATAAGTTGGTACAATTGTAACGATTGGTCGCAAACAGGGTGATATTCGATGTTTTGTGACCTGCGTACACAGTGTAAGATCATTTCAGAGACGTCAGCCCAGCTGTGAGATACTGGCTTCATGATAAAAGGATCACCAGGATTCTCAGGATAGAAAATCAGTTCCGTGGGAATAGGTGATGGCAAGCCGCGGTTGCCAGTGTCCAGCTGCGGGTACTTCTCGTCCCATGACCCAGAAGAGGTTGTGGACCATTGGATACTGTCGGGATATCGATCATGTGATCTAAAGAGGGCACCGTATTGCACTAGCGTATGCACTAGCGCTAGCACTTCTACTATATTAATTACTAGCTTCCCATAGATAACAATAATCAAGACGAATAATACAATCAATCATATTGATAAGACTGAAGTACTTTACACTTTAATCAACACCAAGTTGATACCAACAGATACTCATTGCTGATAACTGTATGATAGACCACCTGTATTATTTGAAGTTTATATGAAAGTTATGAGAGAGATGGTACTGTTTGAAGAAGAAACAGGTAATTGTGGTGTGGTTTGGGAGTTGTGCGTGCAAGATGGATTGATTTTGAGAATTGTCTATCAATTGTGCGTGTATCTTCAAGCTTAATTGAAAAAGGCTGGCGAGAAATTGCTCTAACTCTATGGAAAACTCTTCAAACTACAAACTGAGTACCTTCACGACTGAAACTCACTTCTCAGCTCTCAATCGGGTCAAGTTTGACATGGGTCTTCCATCAGCCTTCCCAAATCAGGCTGTTTTAATGCTGCCTTGCCTTAGCTTCGTTGTGTCAAGATTACAGCCTCTTTATTCTGATTGAAATCTTCGAGGAAAAGTTGATTATTGGCTTTATTAGTTCATTTTAGGGTTCAAATGGATAATTGCAAAGATGAACTGTATATTGCTATTGGACTCGCGTAAATCAGGGGTCAAAACAACAATCCTGACTTTTCAGCACTTAATTTTTAATCTCGCTACGAACTCCTGAGTACTCTGATCAACTTTTTGTAACAATAAATCAACATTCTTTGTTTTTTTTTTTTTAAAAAAAAAAAGACACAGTAATATACATAATTTCTTAGGGATTACCCCAAAATGTATTGTTGTTAGACAGACTTGAGGTATAGAAGTCAGCCCTTCTTGGATCAAATCTTACTCTTACGATAGGGCATCTCTTAGTATATTTGAAAATGTCTCATTGAATGAGCCACTATCAAAGGTTCAAATAATGATATGTTTTCTACAGTTGATTGCGTCTTCTCTCTTTGTATGGATACACAATATACCAGTAAACGTGTTGCGCCTGGCTGGGAATAAAATGAGAACATGTCATCAACATAGTGAATTTGGGGGGGGGAACTTCCATCCTTATCACAGGCAGCAGATAGTACATTCAATCTTTCTTGTGGTTGGTTAATACATGGATTGAATTGAAATTACCTAACCAGCCTTTTTTCGTAGAAGGATCTCCAATAAGAAATGTCGATTGCGGGCCACGTGCGGCAGTGGATAGGCCACATGTGACCCTTAAGAAGTGCATAGTCAGCTCTCAAGATTTAGTAACGTGCTCTTGCTCTCACCTTGCATTTTCATTTCGCGATTGTAGCCTCATTCACACTTCCAATAAGAGTCACAATAGAAGTTTGTCTTTTCTGCGTCTAGATCGACCACTATGTGCCGAATGCAGTATATAATTTGAGCAGTTTTTTTTAGCATTGTAGACTGATGACATAAAACTCAATTGGGTCGAAGAGCTATATATCTACTTACGGATCGGTAAGAGGTCAGAAGTCACCAGCGGAAAGCCACTTGTAGGCTCTGCGTGTCCGCGAACATTGAGGAACAAGTTAGAATGGAACGGTATCTATGATCCAGATGTGAGAGGATTTGTTATAAGCCTCAGAATTGAAGACATCAATGCAATTTTTAGTTACCTATTCACAAGCTTGAAAGGAATAGATCTACAATAAATCGAAATATTTACTGCATTCTCTCATGTTCGAGAAGCCCTGGCCAAGAAACGGGAGACCTGGATGACAAGAACCGAACCACGGCAGAATCTGGCACATATTTATCTCGTCAAATCTGTGTTTCTGTCATAGAACACATAGAAATCATGCGACTTTATTTGAATGTTTAAAAGCTCCGCTATATCTTCTAATGCTAGTTTACTGCTGTGTAGCTGTTGTTCAATGTAAACATTTGAAGTATCCAAACGTGATCAGGCTTGAAAAGGTTCCTCAATTCTGTGGGATAGGCTATTCTAATTTGCTTTCTTAATATGTATCGGCTTCGGGTCTCAAGTGCTGCGCAATGAAAACACACCGTGATAAATGCACGTGATCTTCCACCCTCAATGCTTTATACGTAAGCCCAGTAGCGTTTCGTCTAGCCAACATACATGCAAAATCTGCGCAAAAATGGGAGCATAGTTCAATTGGTTAGAACCTATACTGAAAGGGCAGATTGCCCAGATCTTCATTATAACTCTGGTGCACCAGGGGTGATGGTTCATGAGGCTCTCTGACTGCAGGTATAAGATGTGAGTTCGATTCTCACTGCTCCTAATTCATTTCCATACTGTCACCCTATCTGAGGGTGCCGTTGTGGAATAACCTCTTTTTGCTGTGTTGAACATCTTTTTCCCTGGCATTTTCAATGGGGTAAAGATGCAGAATATTGAGAAGAGCCCTCTTTAACGCATACATCTATGTTTGTTTGTAGATCACGTTTTGGTCATCAAATCAATTCCAATCATTCTGTTCAATTGCGGGGTGCATGCAGATATCCGTTTCTCCATGTAATAAGCCTCCTTATCTCCACACACTCACTTTACTTCACCCATTATCACTTCTGTCTTTGCTACTTTCTTTCTTCATGATTCAATATTTGTGTGTCAATGTCAATATGAGTAGGATCTGCTTGGAAAGAGAAACAATGAAGGAAAAAATTGTTCGAAAAGTAGAACGCACACATCAAGCACCCGAGCGCAGCGCAGATAGTCATCGGCACCGAAGCACCGCAAATCCATGATGATAGACAATGGAAATCTGGCGCGCGTCCTTGTGGGATAATCAAGCCTAATTTGCGTGAGTTCTAAGCATGGCGTTCCTAATGTTTAGGTAGCTTTGTCTTTTAAAGTTGGCTCGCCTTTTCCCTCTTTTAATCTTTGGCGCCGAAGCGAATCTCTCCAAGGAGATAGCAGCATAAAGGTATCAGTCAATTATCCTTTTGTCTAAATTTGATGTACCAAGTCAATAGCACCCTAGTTGAGCCGGCACAAAGATGGTGAGATTACGAGGGATATGCGAGATGCTAGTTCGAGCCTTGCTCTCTCCGTTTTGTGAGTGGCCCACACACCAAAGTAGCTATACAATTGAATCCCATGAATGACTGGAGATGTGAGGATGTAATCGCATTTCTTCCTTTCCGAAGAAGTAGGTTGTAAGTTTCTGGCAGCAAGGATGTGGTTTACCAGTAACTGCACTTAGATATTCATCTGTCCCGCAGCCAGCTTTCGAACCTATACTAACGTTTATAAACGCAAAATGTATCGGAAGAAATTAAGATAGTCGAATTCTCCACATTTGAAATATGAAATTTAAAATAAGTCGATTATTCAGAAGCTCGAAGTACACCTCAATACGGCCAAAGAGTTATTGGTTTGTGCATTTCACCTCGTTGAGTTTGTCATGTCTGAATCACACTATCAACCGAATGCTAGAATACTTGCAGCAGAATTCAGTCGACAAACTATCAAAAGGTCGATCGCCATGATATTACAGTCGCATGGGCAGAGACAAACAGAACCTCGCTGGGTCTGCAGTATCTCCGCTCCAAGTTGCAGTTGAATTCTTCAAACAAATAATCCCTTGAAGGGAATTGCCTCGGAGTCAATCTTCAAAAAGGAGTGACTCCACTCCAAGTAGCAAACGTGCATCAACTTATCAAGATTGATTCATCGATATCAATAATCAAGTCAAATCAATGAGAAAAACATTGTTCAATATAGGTAGTGTCCGCATCATAATGGAGAGGATAACGCATACTACAGGCACATAGAAATCCCGACATCTGCCAATCCCTGAGCATCACAATGGGCTCGAAAGATAAGTTCGATTTTAATCTGCCGAAAACTTCACATCTCGTTTCTCTTTCAGGATTGTGATATTTCGGTTCTTCGTGGCGGTGTCTAGAATCTAGAACAAATAGCCTTCCGATGTGAATTGAGGCTTGAAGCTAGGGAATATGACTATTGAATCAAAATAGCAATGCAAAGATTTAATTTGTTTTTTTGAGCAAAGATATGACTTTCATTCTCATTTAATGGACACGGCTGGGTTGGGTACTCCCAATCTGGAAGGACCGAGCCCGGTCAGCTTTCAAAGCAAGCTCATTCATTACACCTTCATATACGTCAACAACAACTTTCCATCATAATACATCGAAGGGGCTTTAGCTTAGTGGTGAAGCAATGCTGCAGTATGATTCGTACCAGGTGCCTCGCTCCCCCGGGCGGGCATCCAGCGGTCGACCTAAGAAGATTACTGCAATACTATCGGTGGTTCGAATCCATCCAGCTCCATATATTTTTGCTAACTGTTCCATCTGCTTTTCTCAACCAGGATAATTGAGTGGTCTAAAGCTGAGAGTTTTCGTGTGCACTTACGGCCGTCGCGGAGTGGAGTCTAGTGTTTTCAGTATTTGTTTCTGAACAAGGAAATAACAATCGCCTTCCAACGATCCAAACGTCCTTTCTCCAAATTGTGCAAGCTTATACAGATCTATATGCTAAGGCTTCCACTGCCATTATTCTTGTATTGGAAGGGTTCTGGCTTAAATGATACAGCATTTTCATAAACACTCAAGTAAAGGGTGCATCCATGAATACACTCACCCGGGCGACTGTGACACATATGTATCTTGGGAGATTGCCGGTTCGAACCCATCCAACTCTATATCATTGCAATTATTGCTTTCCATGATTCTATCTTTGGTAATTAATTTATCATTTGTGAAGTTCGAAAGTTGGGAATGCAAAAGAGAGGGATATTTGTGAGCACAATTCAAAAGGAGCTACATTTTATTGTGACAGTTTCTCTAACCCATTAAACGCTTGCTTCCTCGTCTCCGTCAAGGTCTCAGTCACTCTTAACGATTTCTCAAATGAATTAACCGGAAGATACATTAATCTCATGATTTACTGTTCATGAACATCGCTATCGTATATTATGAAAGTGGTAGTGAGTGAGTGAGTGTATTGGGATAAAATTGTGTGAGGAATAACCGATATTGCTCGAAGATTGTTTCCCTTGAAAGATTCATGGATACTAGGTAAGCTGAATAAGAAATCTTGCTACTATGGCGAAGGCAGAAAATATTGAAGGACAATGGTTAGTATATTCTTCTTGCTTCGACTCTTTTACCATTACGAAGTATCATTTCTCTATGCGATCCTACAGCTCGAGTTTATCATCCAACATGATAAGGATACTTGATAAATTTCGCACATGTTAGAGCGCTTAAAAGAAAGCGAGATAGGCGCCCAGTCTGCAATAGTATCAAGATCGACCAAGCTGCTCACGACCGTCAAAATTGACCTTCCTCTATTGTTCGTTCGGTCAATCGATGCATTCAGACTAGCTTGCTACCATGTAAGCTTGATTACAAGATCTCATATCCAGCCCGCCTGGAACTTTATTTTCTTTTATCTCCTCTTTCTGATTGGAGAATTTGCGAATCCTCTGAAGCGAGGACCACTTTTGCTTCAGCCAGCCCTGAGAAAATAAGCGATCGAGTTAGGCTCAATTTGGGTTCTCACGAGTAGTGGGGTTTGTAGGAGGTCATGGGTGCTTTTCATGGGTAGGACCTGACTCGCGAAAACCCGCTCGCGGGGTATCTAAGCAGACTAGGTAGATTTGTCATTAGAATAGGAGATTTCTGAGTCTTACATTCAGCTCCGGACGAGACGTTTCGAACTACTGTCGAGGGTCGATTTCGAAATTCTAGATATTCCAGATGATGGAAAGCTGTATCTCGAAAAACCAAGGCACTGTGAGGCATTTTCATTCAAAGAGGAATAGTCAGTAATGTGAACCAGACAACTCTTCCCCATCTAAATTTTGGTAGAACCTTGTGAAAAAGTGCTTGATTTCTGAGACTGGAGCGGGTCCCTCAAACTTTCATTTATGGAATTGGATACGTCTAATTTTGCCGTCAAAAGAGATGATCACTTATCCTGGGTGCTGCAGCTCAGCTGCACTCAGAAGATCTTCGTAGATGTTGTTTGTCACATTCGATGCAAACAAAGACCTCATATTATCCAAACTAGGTTACATTCGAAGAAGCGTTTTATAGCAGAATAAGGAAAGCTCCGTTGTGATTGGTTACTGGTATTGGTTGTCCAGATCTACAGGGTGGATAAATCTACATCCCATGGCTTGATCGCTCTAGTGGTATTACTTCGTGTATAGATTACTTCCCCAAAGATAGCATATGAATCTGCAATGGCTTTCCTATGTGGAGCTAAGGGGCTGAATCTCGCTCCCAAAATCTCATACACATGAAATCTTAGCACTGAAACACATTTTCTGTGTTCATGTGGCGTTATATCATGTATTTCCCTGATAAGGTTGATAAGGCTACTCGAACAAACTGTGGACTAGCGTCATATCATTGGTATATTAAACAGCCATCTGATTCTTGTCTCACAATCTGTCTCGTATATTATGTTGATACTTTGAAGAATTGTCCAAATTATGATTCCAGCTACATCCCTACTACACTTCCTGGATTTCTATGACTGGAAAGTTCAAAGCAAGGACAAAATCTACCAGGACTCACAATCATCACCATCTGTCTCGTTGCCGTCAACACCCAAAAGCCAGAGAGACTTGAAGAGAGTCGCCGAGCCCAAAGACCTTCCTTACATTTCTCCCATTGAATATGTTTACGATCCAGTACCAGAGGCTCTCCACCGTCTTACCAACTTGCTGCCCCTCTCTTTCCCACACTACGCTTCAGCCAATTGTGAATATACAACTAGAAATAGCGTACGCGTGAATCCCCGCGCTGCAGGACTTCCGTATCGTTCGAGATTTGAGCTCATCCGCGGAAACAAACACTGGAAAGCAAATCTCGACGAGACCAGGAAGATGCTCGAACTGATCGCTGTGGATAGCTCTAGCACGAGTATGGAAATGAGGAATGGGTTCACGCTGGCCGGGCTTGCTAAGAAAGAGCTGCGTCCGGGGTTGGAACATCGGGTGGTACTTGCAACATCTTACATGTACCCCAATGCAAATGAGAGACGAGCTAGAATAATCGCCGCAGTAATGTTGATGCTTTTTATTTTTGACGGTAAGAGAAACCCCGGATAGATTAATCCAATAAGAGCCTGCAAGCTGATGCCATAGTTTCTGGAAAAAGATAAAATGGAAGAAACGCCGGAAGGAACACCAGTACGTGTTACCAACTAATATTATAAAGCTGGTGCTAATAAAGAGAAGCTCATGAATTCGAGAGAGCAATTTCTTTGCCATTTCAGAAGTCCAAATGATATACTACCATCGGATTCAGTCACCAGCGACTTCCAACGTCACTTGAAGTTTACCGTGAGCGCTATAGCGGATGAAGACGAGATATCAGGTAATGGCGGAAAAGAGATGATCGAGGCATTGCTTGGAGCGTTTCGATACGTTCATCCAAAGGGAGATTTTCATTCGTTGGAAGAATATTTGAACTTTCGACGCTCGAACGTGGGAGCACAGTAAATACCCCCTCCCCCTGGTGAAACATTTCCGAGGCGCTGATTTTGATATAGGTTTGTCATTGCGGCCGCAAAGTTCACAATCAAGTCTAGTGTAAACGTGCATGACCCCCGATTTGCCAGGTATCTGAGGTTGATTAGTGATCACCTTGGGATCATCAATGACATGGCTTCCTACGAGAAGGAATCTAGAGCCCTAAAGGAGGGTGATACCCAGGACATGATAAATATTGTCGCGGTTTTCCAGCATCTGAAATCACTCTCAACCAGTGCGGAAGCAAAGGTGGCAGCATATACGTATCAATTACAAGTGGAATCATGGATAATAGAAGAAGTTGAGATTTTAGCAGCTAGAGGACACTTGACAGATGAGGAATGGTGGTTTCTTGAGGCAGTTTTCATGACAGCAACTGGAAACGTCTTTTTTTGTATGACAAGCTCGCGTTATGGAGGAGATGCTGCCAAGCTGACGTGGTGAAGTCATGCATTACTAGTTGATTCTCACTTATCGATAGAGACATCGATAGAATTCCACGTTAGGGTCATTCTTGAGAAATAACCTTTAAAATCCATCGAAATAAACCACTTGATTGTGCAGGATTGATGATCAGATACGATGAAAATAGAGACAGCAAGCAGTTTGTGTGAAAATTAAAAAGCGGGGAAAGCTTCGACAAAGTCCAGGAGTTCTCTGAAAGTGATCAAACAAAACAATTGTCAGAATTACATGAACCATCCAATCTACATTGACAGAGTAATGATATAATATTCCCGGCTCTCTGCATATTCTGTGACGCAGACTACGTCAAATTCCTCTCGTCGCCCGCTGCCACCACAACAGCACCCACCATTTCCTTCTCCTTCGTAATAAAAACACTATGACACGTCTTATAATCCTCCGTCTTAACCACCACCCCCTCACTCTTCACCTTTTCAAGCATAAGATCCTGATACGGTCTTGGCACTGAATAATCCTGCTGCGTCAAAATATACGTAACAGGAACTCTCCTCCACGCATCCCCCTTTGTCTTCGCCTCAAACGCCGACATTGGAGACCTCACCAGATCCGGCAGCGCTTTATCGACGATATGCTGTTCTACACCACCAAGAAATGAGAGAGATGGGTCGACGGGGAATGTAGATCCATCATCGAAGTTCTGGATAAATTGAGGCCAGAGATCGGCGAAGCCTGCTTCTTGACAGATGTCCCAGACCGATGTTCCGGGAGCAACAATGTAGGCGCACATGTAGAAGAGATGGATGACTCCTCCGGATTTTCCTTCAGCCTTGCGGTCAGCGAATGTAAGGCCTTCGACGGCGTCGGTACCGACTGCTCCGCCGTAAGAATGCATGGCCATCAAAACTCGCTCGTCAGCTTCGACGAGTGATTTCACAACATTGCGGACAGCAGCGACGTCCTCTGTAAATGAAGAGACAGGAGGAGATTTGTCGTTGCATGAAGGTAGTTGTGGACAGAGGACCTTGAATCCTTGTGCTTCTAAAGCATCGCTGTAGCTCTTGTAGTTGGCAGGGGTATGCCAAGCGCCGTGCACTAGGACGACTGTGGGTAAAGAGGTTGCCATGACAATCTGGTGAGCGATAGATTTAAATATGAGAGGATGAGATGTATTTCAATCAACGAATTATTCATATGTCAGCACAAATTGTAAAGAATTAAATTTCGGAGGAAAAAAAAGAAATACAATAGAAACGAGGACAGAATAGTCTTATACTGTGTCATTCGCGGCTAACAAGTTACGCGAGCGATGCTAATGCGCTTAGAACCAACAATTGGACTCGAGATGCATAAGACCAACACAACTTACCAACAAGCAGCTCCACTACTCATCGTACGGTCACTTGATCTAATATCTTAACTAACTAGTTTTGTAAATAAATGCATGAACCAAAAAAAGAAACCCACACAAGAACACAGTCAGACGCTGCATATAATGTTACAAATGATCTCGATTACTTACATTGGGACTATTCGAATAGTGTGGGGGAACAAAATTAAAACCTCCTCTCCGTGTTGCAATCAACCAAAAACTGTTTTTGATCATTGATACATTTCGCACTGAAAACTCATCAAACACGTACAAAGCTCAAATTGGGATACCTGCTATCCTGACCTTCTTATGTTTGTGAGTGCACTTTTTCAATTTGATTATAATGACTATTCTCATCAAAATAGCAAATATACGATTCGTCTTTATCTTATCGACCGTGCCCCTTTAAATATCTTCTGAACATCCGACGGTCCCATAACAATTTCCTCTAGCTCGACATCTTCACGAGATTCTTGTATCTCACTATAATTCCCATACAAACAAGCCTTTTCACTTCTTGCTCTCGCAGTTAAATCACTCATTGTCTCCGCGCCCCTAAACGTATGGCCTACCATAAGCCCTCTAGAAAGAACGGCAAGTGAGCTTGACTTCCAAGCAGGAGTTCCACGTAGCCTCGTCTGATAGATTGTAAGGACGATGAAAATAGTAGCAGCAATGATGAAGAAACAGTGCAATGATATCCATTCCCATTCAATTTTATAGAAGGTCACCGTTTCATAGACTGTGCCTGCTTGTACTTTTGCGCCATCGTCGTTAGCGCGGATGGAGTTGCTCATACTTTTTGCAAGAGACGCGAATGTAGCTGGGAGATCATTGCTCATATTGAAAGCTTGCATCGAGCTGGGCTTATACTGAAGATTGCCATCGGACATGATGTAGCCATTCAACCTTGCCTGTTGTGTCTCAGTGACATTGTGCGTGATGTTCAGGTTGGTCGAAAAAAAGTCACTGAAGTAGCTACTGACGCTATTGACAGCCGCTTGTGAGACGTTATACTTTCCACCTAGGGATAGGTCGGATCGAGGCGCCGCGGATAATTTGCCATCGAAATTAAGACTTGATACGGTCGACGAGTTGAGAACAGCGGCCCACTTCGAGCTTGTAATCTGCCACGAATCCGGATCTCGCTTTGCACTTGTAACCTCGGAAATGTCTTCGGACAGAGTGCCGCTCGAAATCGTAGAATTATACCGATTGGCACAATAGTATAGGCCGCATTCTCGTGCTTCGATTTCTAAGTTTGGCCACGTCTGATTTGATCCATCTTGAGGGGGATGTATTTTGAGAAAAGTCATCGCCCATATCAACGTATCAATATCTTGTAGTGATACCGTCTCACTACCATTTCCAGTTCCATAAGTCGTCATAAATATACCACCTGGAACTTCCAAAGATGTAGATTCGGTGGTATAGTTCCAACTGTCAAAACCATCGATGGATAAGCTGTTGGGAAGTCTGAATGCAGTGCCCATCTCTCTAATTGCAATACCATTGTCGGTTTGCAAGTCTGCGAAGAGAAAATTGTAATCTCGATACTTCACTACTTTGTCGCTAAGATCGTTGCAAACATTACAAACCGAAAGGGACTCAAATGCATCCCACGTACAATTTCCAGAAGTACATGTGTGAGGAAGTTGTTGAGCGATCATTTCACTAGGCTGCGTAAGACCGTATAGGACAGCTGATTGCATGATGAAATCCGCGTCAGCGAAGGCTTGTACTTTGGGCGGATCACCTATTCATGGGTCAGCGGCTTTGATAACTTATTGGGGTTTTAGAAGGATCGAGTTTACTTAACACCATCGTGAGTTGCGTATTGAACAATCGGCCCCTAGAATAACGATCTGCTCTCGGGACGTCGGCAATTCCATGTTTTTGAGGAACTTGACGTTGTTGATACTGGCCAAGTTGTTGTGTAAAAGGATCAACAGCCAACGCAAGAACCGTCGTGACAGCACCGATGCGTACTATGAGCCTATCCGTGTGAGTATCGTCTCTGCATCGCAAATGGAAGACTAAATTTCTTACTCCCGATTTTTCCTCCATAACAGTTTGAAGCTACCTAATGGCCCCCGGCTTGCAGCATCAATCTTATCGAAATCTATCAGAAAATGCTTCTGTTCTGAAAAATGGAGCCATTTCCATTGGCTAGTGGACTCAGCAATAGAATACAGAACAAGAACTTTAGCAGCGGTTGAAAGAATTGATACCAAGGCGTTAAGTGTGATGCCATGCCAACGAAAAATAGTCTTTCCATCAAACGCATACAGAAGTGCAGCTAGAGCTATGAAGCATAGCGTTCCGCAAAAGAGGGAAGCAAGCTCTCGTTTCCAGAAGCGGAAGTTCCAGGAAAGCTCTCGCGACATCGATCCTAAAAAAAGAAAGCTTTTGCAAGACAAGAAAGAAAATTCACACAAAAGAAAACGTGGAAATTTCACTCATTAAGTAAAATCTATACAGTGGGGCGGCGACTGCGTCTGCATCCTCATATAGATGATCGCTTTTCGCGGTCGTGAAGGATACCCAATGGTGATTAAGATGGATCATGTTATCGCTATTTCTTGGCACGAAGCTGATATCTCTGCCAGTTGTATGACTTGCAGAGATCTTTGCTTAATTTGATCCAAATTTGACCGCCAGCTGCTGGGCTGTTGGCATCGTGGTTACGGAGACTTCTAGGCCCTGGTTCTTCCAGCGGCAAATGAAATGCCATCCTGTGGGAGATCCGCAATCAAGTTTGAGGATATTGTACGTACATTAATATATGTGTTCTAGCGGTGCATTATTGTACGAAGAGCCCTGTTTGGAACCCTTGTATAAGCTTATGTAAACTTAACTAATTCACAGGCTTTTAACCTTAAAATCTTAAATATAGATCAGCCTCACATAAGATGTACGTACAACGGCAATGTCTCGATCACGTTCAATAACCTAGATAAATACAATCTTGAAATGTAACTCATCATTCAAATGCACTCATCATTCCAGGCAAGTAGGGGTGGGATGTAAGTGTTTCAGTCGTAATTTACAACGGTAAAAGAGGAAGGAAGTTGAAAATGTGCAACATTTCGTTCATCTATTCATTCCACGATCCTTATAATTGCTAGTCTTTTGATATCATTTCTTCATTCCCTCTATATCCTTTCATAGCCTCACTTCGTCTTTCCAGTGGGAATGCCGAACATCACGGCTGGCTTTCCATCCTTGGCCGCTCTATCAACTCTGAAATACCCTTTTCTCTCCAACTGGATGATATCATCCTCTTTAAGATCGGCAACATTGCTATCGCATAGCTGATCTGTCTTGTGAGCGGAATCTGGTGTGAGGAAATCTTCCCAGTTGTCATCTTCCTCCAATTTGTCCTTAGTGATCATGTAGTCAAATTCATACACCTCTGTTGGAACAAGGGTTTGGTCAGAGGATAACCAAGTGACTTTCTTCTCGGTTTTCTTGACATCACCCTCCAAGTGCAGTTCCAGCTCAATATCTGTAATTGGACCAGAGCCATTAATTTTGCGCACGAATGCATTACCCCAATTCATGAGAGTAATTTCTTCGCCTTCTTTAAATAACTTGACATCCTCTTGATCAAGAATGAGGTTTTTGCTATATGTAACCTTCTTCATTCCGACCTTGGGATTCTTTCCATGCTTAGGCTTGTCTTCGGTGTATGGGGACTCTGGACCATTGGTGACAACTGCCTTTACTTGATCCTTGATATCGACACCTGTGTGTCTTGGTGCAATTGGATCGATTTCCTTCTTGTTTGAGGCCCAGAAATTGGTCCAATCCATGGTTACAATATTTCTACTTGGTCCCTGCTTCAAGATGAAATCTCTCAAAGCGGGAATTGTCATACCCCTTCTTCGAACTCCGCGGATTGTAGGCATACGGGGGTCATCCCAACCCCAGACTCTTCCAGCATCAACCATCTTGGCCAATTTACGTTTTGAGAGGAAGACTCGAACGAAGTTCATGCGAGCGAATTCCCACATGTGTACTGGTGTAAGGTTCAACTTGGTAATAAACCATTGATATTGAGGATTTCTGTCGTTGTACTCGGTTGTTCTCAAGGCGTGTGTAACTCCTTCGAGAGAATCGACGATTGGGCATGCGAAATCATAGGTAGGATACATCTTCCAAGTAGTACCTGTGCGGTGATGGGGCAAGGGACCACCAGTCTCGGGATCGTCGTTGGGACATCGGTAGATAACAGGGTCGCGCATTGCCTTATTTGGGTTGTCTACAGACATCTTTGCTCGGATACAGAACTTCTTTCCTGCTTCTGTGCCGTTTTTCATCTCTTCGAATATGGCGAGGTTGTCCTCAACACTCTTGTCTCTGTTCTTGCTTGCAATACCATCCATTCGTTGTTCCCTCATAGTCTGCTGATCTGTGTCATCTGCATAAGCGTTATCATCTTTGATGATTCTCAGACCGTATTGATATAATTCTTCAAAGTAGTCGCTAGTATGACTCTTCTTGTCTGGCTTAACGCCCATAAGTGCTAAATCCTCGATAATAGAGTCTTGGAATTCTTGTTTCTCTTTTGAAGGGTTGGTATCGTCGAATCGGAGGAGAAGTGTGCCCTTATAAAGCTCATGTGCGAAATAGTCATTGAGAAGTGCAGCCTTCGCGTGACCGATATGAAGATATCCACTAAACAAGATTAGTCCCATAACTGTGAGGTGTAATTGATTTGTTTGGCATACGATGGCTCTGGTGGAAACCTGGTCACAACCCCCTTCTCGGTATTGGGCAAAGCTATGTTGTAGCTTGCTCCCGCCTTGCTAGCAGCTGTCTTCTTTGCCTTCTCCGCCTCATCCTTGAGCTTGATCTCCTCTTGAATCTCTGGATGTGTCTGCTCAATAAATTGATACCATCTGACAAGATTGAGAGAAGTGCCCTTCTTTAAGAAAGCAGCTGCAACTCTGTTTGTGCGAAGTGTGACCCATATTTTTGAGTCCAAATCAGTGATCGTGTATCCGTTAATGTATGAACGAAGGGTAAGGTGCTTATCCAAGGCGATTAAATGTGGCTCAATAGCCTTGAAGTCTAGCGGAGCTAGATTCGTCGCCAGTTGAGACAATTCTTCGGACTTCATTTTTTTGTATATCTGAGTAGTAAATTGCTTTGATTATATCGTGAGATAAATTCTGAGAGTAGTGGGGGAATTTGTTGACTCAGGGCGGGGTGGCACGGAAAGGGTTTCACCGGGCGCCGAGCGGAAGCTAAAATTTATGATTAGGCGCTAGTGATTATGGATGATCTCGAATTACAAGCACTTTCGACCAATATTGAAATACTCTAGGCCTCGATCTACACATTATGGCAGCTCCAGGATTATGCCTAGCTCAAATGAGCAGGCTGTCTCTGTCTACTGCTCGACACGCCTTACTACACGCACCAAAAGCCTCAATACCTATAGTCCAAGTCCGACATAAGGGCTTCAAAGAGAGGATTCTCTCCAAGAAAGAGAAGTCAGGCGCTCTCACTGGACCAACTAAATCATTTTCTAAAAAGAAGACAACGGAAAAGAAGAAGAAGAAGCCAAGGACTACATATCGACAATATGATCCAAAAGATGCGGAAACATTCACCCTATGTGAAGCCATGCGGTTAGTCTACTTTATTGATTCAATTCAACATGTTTACTAATGCAGCGCATAGATATCTGAGAGCATTCGAAGTTGGAAGATCTCCAAATTCTTCCAAATACGAATTACATCTGAAGCTGAAATCGCTTAAGAACGGCCCCGTCGTACGAAATCGATTAAGACTTCCACACCCCGTCAAAACCGATTTAAGGATATGCGTTATTTGCCCTCCAGACTCGAAATATGCGGAATCTGCCAAAGCAGCCGGAGCAACACTGGTTGGAGAAGAGGAGATATTTGAAGCTGTCAAGGCTGGCAGAATCGAGTTCGATCGATGTATTTGTCAAACGGATTCCCTTGCGAAAATGAATAAAGCTGGATTGGGTCGTGTTTTGGGTCCTCGAGGACTGATGCCCAGCGCGAAGACGGGTACCGTTGTGAAAGATCCTAGCTTGGTTTTGAAGGATCTGATTGGAGGCGCTGAATATAGAGAACGTCTGGGTGTTGTAAGAATGGCGGTCGGTCAACTCGGTTTCACACCAGAGGAAATGCAGCGAAATGCCAAGGCCTTCATCGAGGCTGTGAAGAAGGACATGGCACAATTGAGTGACAAAATCAACAAAGAGATAGTCGAAGTGGTTTTGAGCTCTACAAATGGCCCTGGGTTCATTCTTAATGGGGAGTTCAGGGATCTCAATTCGAGTTTGACCCCTCGAGATTTATCGACTTCATAACACAACATATTATGACACGCACATTTGTACTTTAACTGTATAATGAAAATTCATTTACTTTAGCTGGGTATATTACTATAAACTCCTGAAGCTCTACAATACATGGCTCAATTGCTATGTCGATTTAAAATCTCTCAATATCTTTACCGCTTCGTCGCCAGCTCCCAAATCACGGTATATGCCCATGATCCTGACCAGCCGCGGTCTACCTTCTACTTTCAATGACAGTGCTTGCTTCAAAGCATTATTTAAATCCAGAACAATAGTGTTCTTCAACCGCAGTAATCGAGGTTGCTGAGCTGCGATGAACGGATGATCCAATCCGATCGTGATCGACAGATGCTCAACGTTACGATAGTCTAACACAAATCTTTGAAGCTTCTTCGTACTTGTTCCATTGACGACGCCATCAATAGCAAGATCATCTCGATCTTCATCCTCCTCCTCATCCTCGTCTTCACTCCAAGAATCTTCAAGTCCATTTGGTGACCGACCGAGGGATGCAACCATTAACCTATCCTCCAACTCTTCAAGTCGTGAATCAACCTCGAGTAATTTTCTTCCCAGAGCTATTTCCTTAGTAACACTTTTTTTCTCATCAAGAAGACCCTCAACTTCCAATTTCCTTTCTCTAACCTTCCCTCTTACATCCTCAACACCTCTTTTAAAACCTAATAGGCCCACTCTAACATCTTCAACCTTCTCTTCTCCACCCTTAAGGTCCGAGCCCAAGCTTAGAAATTGCTCATAATTGGTATTTACCAGATCCAATAATTCTTTGGAAAGACTCTGTGAACGCTCACGAAGGTCGGAACGTAAATCCTCGAGGGTCTGGTGACGATCTGATAATGTAGATAGATAAGTTGGTGCATCGAAAGATGGAGTCAAGAAATCAGATCGGGGAAGGGCTTCGGGATATGGAAGATTGTCTTCATCGTCTGAGGAAACATCACCCGATCCTCCACCAAAGTAGAATTTACTCATGTTTGATGGTTGTAAGAGATTTTCGAATCAATCAAGTTCTGAGAGGAAGAGTACGAGCGTTCAGAGCTCAATGTTCTTGAATAAGCTTCAATATTCTGTTTTCAGGAGTTCTGTTCTTTGCGTTTGATATGTTTGTGGTTGATGCTCTGCTGTATGCACCCGCCCTCACTCGTTCCGTTGGAATTCCCAGGTAGTTCTTCGTTTTAAGGCTAGTCAGGCATTCATGAGCAGATTGTCGCTCGGTATTTACATAACAGGACCCAGACGACGAACGTAAGCTCTGGTAAAGTCAAGCCAGAATCCCAGGACAACAGCCTAGGAGATGACAATCGTTGATGAAGGATCCCTTCTTTTATCTCTTGGCATGAAGGGATTTCCAGCTGTGATATAGAGTATGATTGGATATATCTCGTCGATTGACAATTGAATTCTTATGTCAGGTTAGTCGAAGGTTAAGAAGAGGTTAGAAGGATATATGATAGACACTTAAGATTCACTTGGATGCCTGCAAAATAGGGAAAACCAATAAAGTCCGATTCTCGGAAAGTAGCGTCTTGTGTAACTAAACTGATGACACTGTGACACTAATTTTTCACGCTAATTTTTATCAATCTAATCTTTTTGATCTCTCACACACTTTTCTATTCCCCCCTCCCTCTTCTTTTTCTAATCTGATCTTACAAACAATGCTCATTCGTCCTTTAATTTGGTACACGATTGTTCAATATTTGCCTTTACTTTCTTCATAAACAATCTCTTCTGATGAGTAACGACTTTAATTTCTGAATAACCTTCTCTTACCATCAAAGACAGTTTATCCTGTTACACTACAAAAGATTTACTTGTATGCTCATCAGTCAGTCAGCGTCGAAGAAAAAGTCGGGTCCCAAAGAGTTATTTTCATTCATATCTCGTGACCTTCCTTTTCTGCGATAGGTAGATAAACTCGAATTCGCCAATCGGCTATTCGTTGACCCGAATCATGGCTTCACCCGCGGTATCAACACCATCATCGGCTGGTTCTCCAGCAGCCCTTGCTCCAGCTCCTCCTGTTCTCGCCATCAAAACTGGGAATCTATCAAGCATGAATACCATGTCGCCAACATCGGGTGTATCTACCCCTACTATTATGACAACTAAGGAATGGGTTATTCCGCCACGACCGAAACCCGGACGAAAGCCTGCAACTGATACCCCACCAACAAAGAGAAAGGCTCAAAACAGAGCCGCTCAACGTGCTTTTAGAGAACGACGTGCTGCACGAGTAGGTGAATTAGAGGAACAACTCGAGGAGGTAAAGGAAGATCAACAGAGGCGGGAGAATGATATGAGATTGAAGATTACTAGACTTGAGGCAGAGGTTTCTAGATTCAATGGCGAACTTCAATCATGGAGATTACGATGCGAGACCCTTGATCGAATTGCAGACTACGAAAAGAGAGAAAAGGAAACTGCACTCAAGGAATTAGCATATCTCAGAAATGGACTTCAAAGCAAGAGCACTGAAGCTGTTCCTCTCCCACCACGCCGGAACCGCCAATCCACTCAAACACAATCCTTGCCACTGCCACGACAAGAACAAATCCCCTTTGTTCCAGACCTTGAGGTGTCAAGTGAAGCAATCGGTTGTGGCGGTTGCAAGTCATTGGGCGAATGTGCTTGTGCTGAACAAGTGATTGCTATGTCCACTCAAGGTTGTGGCAATTGTAGTCCTGACACTCACTGTCAGTGCTTGGAAGAAACGCTTAAGGATGTCGGCATGGATTTGAAGAGGGCACACTCTCCTTCAGTTGATGGCGCCTCGGAAAAGCGTTTTCGTTTGTCATCTAGGCCTTCCAGTCCTCTCGAGATTGATTTTACTGCCCAGTTCTCACGACGACAGCCTGTCATCCGTGAGCCATCGCCTCCACCTCAGATCATCTCACGACCTATAGAACCATGCGGCTTCTGTGATCAATCAACATTTTGCCCGTGTGCTGAAAGAGAACAGGAGAATCGTCTTGCACCTTTACTTAATGAAGTTACGCCACCACCATCAGATACAGATGTTGAAAACACACAAGTCAAACTTCCATCTATGCAACCCAACCATATGCATCGACCAGTTAGTGCCGCACCAGCTTCAAATTCCTGTGCCAATGGCCCTGGTACTTGCAAACAATGTATAAGTGATCCAAAGGCAGGGCTATTCTGTCGATCACTTGCAGCAATGAGAGCTTCTTCAAGCTCAGCTCCACCTGACGGATGTTGTGGTGGCAGTTCTTCCGGGGGTGGCTGTTGCAAGACAATGGAGCCGGCATCTACTTCAGAACCACCTCCGAGCTTATCTGTTGCAGAAACCTACAAGACCCTTTCTACCCACAAGAATTTCGATCAAGCCAGTGATGAGTTGAATACGTGGTTAGGTCGTCTTCATGCTACACCGCTCCAACATGCTGGTAGAGCACCCATGGAAGTGGAGGCTGCAAGTGTTATGGGTGTACTCAAGCTCTTTGATCGAAGATTCGGAAGAGGTTGAAGACCATAGAAAGTTTTATTATAGATACCCAGCCTTAATTACGACTCATGAAGACGAATGACTTCATATTTTATTGTACATATTTTCAGGATATGCATAAGCATAAAACAAAAGCATAAGCGTTTTGACATTTTTTGATTTTTGGAGCACCGTTCATTGAGCTGGCCAACCTTCATGTACATGTATAGTTTAATATATCAAATGCAATGCACATATCCACTCCAACGGTCATGTATACGAATGACAGCTGAGAAATACTCACAAGGTATCCACAATTCTTGGCGATCAATTGTCCTTTCCTAGAAAGGCAGGTCTAAGTACAACAAAACCGTTCCTGGGGAATTCCGATACCAAGTTATCTTTTCCGATCCATTGCCTGCCCCACGTGTAAGATTCAATCAAGGAGGGGTCGTTGGTTACACTGCAGCACGTTCCTGAGCACCTGCCTTTCCTTCCTTTTCTTCTCTACAATTTCAAGCCATTGATAAGTTGCCGTCTTTTAGTCCTTTCGGGTTTGCACGATACTAGGCTGTCGGAGTAATATCTTTTTTGAATTCGGTAAGAGTTCCTATACGGTAATTAGGTAGATTAAATGCATGTCCGATGTGACTGAGGTGAGCTAAAAGTTTGGTCGACTACTTCTATTTATATTTAAGCTCCAATGTAAGTTCGAAATATTTCTTGATCAAACTTCTTTTTGCTTGCGCTTTCTCAATTACGTCTCTAAGTTTTTGGAAAGTTATCAAGATGCAGGCCGTTAAAATTACTGCGTTTCTCGCTCCTCTGTTATTCCCGTTCCAAGGTGTACAAGCATCATTATATGGAGAAAGTAGTTTCAACCACACCTGTGAATTGAGTGCGTATTTACCCTCCCCAGCGCAATCACAATTGCATTTCTATTAGAAAGTGAAACAACTAACAAAAATAAGAAACGCCCTATCTCTCCTGTTCCAAGAATGCCTCTCCAGACCTCACCGATTCCTGCTGTACCGAGACTTTTGGAGGTCTAGTTCTCAGTACCCAATTCTGGGATACGTATACTGGGTACGAATCGGAGGGACAATTGTTACCCAAGAATTCGTGGACGTTGCATGGACTTTGGCCCGATTTCTGCAATGGAAGTTATACGCAGTATTGCGATTTGAGGTTTGTGAATTCCAATTTGTTGTGGTTTAAAGTTATTGGGGAAGAGAAAGAACTACAGAACTGATTTTGGAAATATGTAGTCGTCAATATGACCCTGTTCCATCTCCTAATACTACAACCGGAACGGCAAGTGGAACACCTGTGCCTCCTTACACCGGAAAGCCCATCTCGGAAATCATCAAGAGTTACGGGAAATATGATCTCCTCGCCTACATGAACAAGTAAATTCCCGCCCTCCTTTCCCCTCCTACCTCCCCATCCCCTCCCAAAACTAACACCCCATCCCCAGCTACTGGATTGCCCAAAACCAACCCAACTGGTACCTCTGGGCGCACGAATTCTCCAAACACGCCACCTGCTTCTCCACCTTCGATACTTCCTGCTACGGACCAACCTACAACTCTACTCCCTTCTCCGACTTAATCTCTTTCTACACCACCGCCCTCTCTTACTTTTCCACCCTCCCAACTTATGATTTTCTGAGCAAACACCATATCGTACCTTCCAATACAACTACATATACGCTTTCTTCGCTGCAATCGGCGTTGAAGAAGGAGACTGGAGCCGTGCCATATATTGGATGTTCGGGACCGAGATATAATGCTACGGAGCAGGGGAAGGGGAGTTTGGATAATGGATATACGGTGTTCAGTGAGGTGTGGTATTACTTCCATGTGCTTGGGAGAGTGCAGGATGGGAAGAAGACACCTGTGGGAGCGGATATCAATGGGGGTAGCATAAGCAGTTGTGCGACTACGAAGGGAGCAGTGAAATATTTTGAACGAAGTGCGGGGTCTGTAAGACGGGGAAGTGGTGCTTATGAGTTGGAGGGTGTTTTGGGATCATGAGGTAGTTTTGATGGGTGATTTAATGGGTGGTTTAATGAGATTGTGAATATGAATCATATGTAAGCTAATAAGAGATAAATTTGGATCTAATTATGTACATTCCTATATATGTTTCGTAATCCCTGGTTCAATTTGCTCCAAAGCCTCCATGACCTCAGTGTAAACCCTCATCTGCGCATTCTTTCCCTTGTCACTCCTTACGTATTTACTTGGTTCACTGACCATACAATCCACCATGTACGCCCCATGACTTTCTTCTCCAGCAGCCACTGCCGCAACTAAAGTCCTACTACCTACCTCTGTTGTCCTCGCTAACAAAGATTTACCAATGCAAGCCAAGATATTCAAAGGAAATACAGCATGACGCATCAGGTCAGAATGACAGAATCCGGGGGTAAGCGTATTGAGTATTATTTGTTCTTTGTCCGATTTAGAAAGTCGGGGAGCGAGTTCGCGAATGATGAAGATTTCGAGGAGTTTGGAAACGTTGTAGCGGTCTTGTTGAAGCTTGGGATTCTTGAGGGCAGGCAGAATGAGAGTAGAGGATTGTTCTTTGAAGACGGCCTAGAAGGGAATTTGCGTTAGTTTTGAAGTTTCTTGGAGTGATCTCATATTGAGGGGTAAGTTCGCAAATCGCTAATGCCTCGCCAAATTGAGATATTGACAATCCAGACAACAGATGAAGGGGTAGAAACATACCTGTTCATGCGCATCACTCGCTACAATTGTCAATCTCGGCACTATATTAAATTTCGCAGCACTCTCCCTCAATTTCGGCAGTACCAGTAATGCCATTAAAAATGTACTCATCACATTAACCGTAATTGTACTTTCCATTCCCTCGAACTCCTCATATTTCGGCACTGCCAATCCCGCATTCTCAAGCATAACATCTAACCGGTCCAGCTGGTCTATTTTGACGCAAAATTCCTTGACGGAGGCATACGAAGTGAGATCCACTTGCCATACTTCGATGATAGTTTTGTGATTAGGAAGCGAGGCAGAAATCGAAGCAACGGCAGCTTCGCCTTTAGAAATGGTACGACATGCGAGGATCACTTTTGCAGCACCGAGTCGAACAATGTGTCGAGCGGCTTCGAGACCAAGTCCTGTGTTTGCGCCGGTTATGATGATTGTTTGGCCCGCAAACGAGGTCTCTGGATATGGAAGTTTCTTGAACTGCGATTTTAAGAAACGACCGAGGAAATCGGTGGGACTAGAGAGGGAGAGACATTAGAATACGGATTTCGAGTAATTGAGAGAAGATGAAGGTGGTTGTCCAACTTACAGATTGAAGTTTCCAAATAGTTTAGGCATGATGATTATAATTTGATATTAGTGAATCTGGTAAATCAGTATTTGGGAATGAATCAATAGATATTTGTAGCAATTATTCAAACGCATTTTGGTGTTGATGATCAATTGTTCGACGTCGATGTCTGAAACCATAGTGAACAGCTTCAAACACATCGTCCTGGAGTTCTTGTCGGAAGAGATGGCCCGTGAGCTTATACAATAGCCCAAGGTTTTTGGTCTTTCACGTGCATAAACACTCATCCAATATTATGCCCCGCGAAGAAGTTCCAATGTGGTCACTCTCGCTCCCTTTGCTATCCAGATCCAAATAGGCATTTGAACAAAATACTCTTTATATGAAATGGTGTATTTTTTTAGATTCGGCTGATTATTTGTCCACAGAAAAATTGAATGGGCTACCTAATCGTAGAGATTTGCGTGTGCATCAATGATGTGAAGGCAGGAAACATATTTCTTCAATTGTTGTTGAAGATATATATTAGTTGGAAGAATTCCTATTCCGATTTGGTGGCAAATATTGATGTGGTTAAGAGTTGACAAGATCAACAATGTCTGGGCCTATCAAGTGCCAGAAAGAGCCTTCGCGTTGTTGAGGGCTGACGAGCATATGCGCTGTTGAAAATGGTTGGCTGCTCGCGCAAAAGCACAGGGGTGCATTTGAATTCATTAGATCTTCCTGTTTTATCCCTCGAGACTCTAGCAGGATTCGAATTAACATCGATCATATTACAGTTATGGCCGAAGAAGGTTTCAACCTATTCAAGACCAAACGTGCGGCACGCCAGGAGGCGTGGCATGGTCCAGGCAGTGGGTGGAATCCATTTGCAAAGACCACTCAGAGAAGTAGTTCATTTCCAGCCCAGGTCAGGGACGACGACTCAGTCAGTGGGCGGGTGCCAAAAGTTATCGATGCTGTGGCTAAGCCCAGGATTGAACGTATCGAGTGGGAGGAATGTCGCAAAAGTATACTACAGGATACAAATGATTTCAACCACAATAATAGTATACTGCAAAATGTGGAAGAGCTCTACTGGGATCCCATAGGAGAGCTATCAAACTTTGGAGCTGGGGAGCTTTCGGTATCGACAAACTTCTCTGTCAATACTCGTACCGAGTCTCGTGAAGAAGTGTTACCCATTGATATGCATGTTCTGGAAGTCGATCGTGAGGGCAAAAATTTCAAGGTTATACTCAAGGACACAGAGGTATTATCGGAGTATCTAAAGCGAATTCCAACCAAACAATCCGAAGCGCATTTTTACTTCTTGCGGGACGTATCGATCCATGCATCGCCAATAGTCAGCCGATTGTTGGGCTGCAGTATCGATGTTTTTCGAGACCACTTGAAGCGTGCCAGCGATGATGTCGCGTTTTTACTTCCGAGTAGAAGCTACATCCAGGATCATGTGGTCATACCCTATCAACGTTGCTATAGACGCAGCTCTGCTAAATCTATCTGCGAAGTCCAAAACAAAAGGAGTACATTTTGTCATGGCAATTTGGTTTCTTCGGAGGAACACGTCACAGTATGGACGTCACGAAGTAGCCAAGAGTCTTCCAGAAGTAGCCGAGAGCCTTCCAGAAGTATGTTGTTTTTATTTTTCAATCATTTCCAATGTCACAAAGTATTGGAGTTTCTATTATCTCTTTAAAGTGACCTGGGCTTATTTCCTACATGCATAGCTTTGATCATCTGCGATGGGAATCCCAAGCAATCCGGTGATCACTTTGATATTTCTCTGACCATGCGTTCAAGACTCGAAAATCAAGTTCAAGAAAGACAACTACATTATAGCCGAGGCGACCTAAAATTCATAAAAACAAGCGTGTCTTTGATAGCATTATGGCTTGCTAGCAATGAATGGCAAGCCGTCATCCGCTCACAGGAAGCATATATGCTTCCAGGCCTCAATACCTCGCCACCACTGAAGTAAGGTTGTCGGAGAAAGAGGCATTCGAGGAGTATCTCAAACAGACATGGAGTATGCTAAAGATGAACCTCCGTGTCATTGATTCTCTGGAAACCCTTAGCTCTAGTTGGCTTACTGAACAATACAAGGAAACATTGAAAGACTATCAATTCCTTGAAAATAAAGTCATGATCCAAATGAAGCAAAACAGTGCCAGTATACCACTACTCACAGCAATGATAGCTGTTGAGGATAGTAGAAAGGCAATACAGCAAGCCAACGATGTGAAGTAAGTTGCAAGATGTCGTCAAATTTCCCCATATCACAATGCTAACAAACTACAGGGCTTTGACAGTCCTTGCGACGGTGTACATTCCATTATCATTCGTTGCCGGCGTTTTTGGTATGAATGTATCGGAACTCAATTCTGGAATTGATGTCGATATTTGGCTATACTTTGCTATCAGCATACAGGTTACGATAGCATCAATGGTTCTAGTATGGAAATGGGAATGGTTGACAAGAAAAGTTAGGAACTTTCGAATCAGACCTAATAATAATCCCAGCCCGAGAAAAACTGTTTCAGGAGCTCTTTTCTCCATGGGTAGAATGACGGCCGGGATTGGAAAACCGAGAGATGTTCAAATTGGCCATGATTTGGAGAAATGAATCACTAGGACTGGACGTAGTTAATTTGGGTACAACTCCCAACGCTCAACTGTACACGAATCTCTTATTTTCTTTTCATAATTGGATGATTTTTATTCTAAATGCAGCCCTATATCAAGAGAGTATACTGAACAACTGGACAGCTCGTATATAAAACCAGGCGGAATGAAAATGGGGTATATCATCAGCTAGCTCACTGTGGATTATAAAAATATCCCCATCACTACTGCCTCGTGTTCACATGGTTAATACTATCTCGTCTATCGTTAAATCCACAGGACATGAAAACAATCAAGCAATTTTCATACTCATTGCATTTTACTGTATCAATCAATAAAGAGTCACAGATAACAAACTAATCATATACAGCGGGTGTCTAGGTATCCATAGGTATCATTCTAAACATCTAGCACTCCAACCACCAGAACTAACTCCCCATCTTCATCTGCATCTCCAATCCTCAAATCTCACTTCTAGGATTCCCCTCTCCAACACTACCAAACTATATTCAAATAATTCTTTAATATTTATATTTATATCTATCTTTATATCTATTTTTATTTCTATCTCTATCTCTATACCCATCTTCACCCCAATACCCATCTATCAAACAAATCCCAAGATCCAATAATCATATTCAAAATACAAATATAAACTCACAAGCACCCTACACAAAACATAACAAACATAACAAACATCAAATCACCCCAATTTTCTCATTCAATAGACAACTCCTACTCTATCCTATCTATCTACATACATACACACATCTTCATTTTCGCGTCTCTTCATTTTGATATTATAGCATTGAAACTTTCGGTGTTTTATCTGTTATACAGCAAGATTGACATTTAGGAATTAATTAGTTTTATATTGATTCTACTTTATGGAATTTGAACTTTAAAGCATACATTTACTTATTTGCTTATTTATTTACTGGGTTAGTTAGATACTTAATATTTACCCCGGTGATTCTGAAGTATTTCGCTAGATACAATACAATACAATAACGTGGTTTATCACCGAGTGGGCCATATCACCGAGTGGGCCACTTTCACCTCAATTCGCACTCTTCATATTCAATACACATTTTATTAACCATTTATTATAAAATCTATGAATAAAGAAGCACATTTACTTTTAGCCATCGAAGTTTTTCAAAAAGATAAAAAATTAAGTATTCAAAAGGTTGTTAAGCTATATAATATATCTTGTACAATGATCAGTCATAAAATAAACGGTTTAACTCCATGTACAGAGATTCAAGCGAATTGTTATAAAATTATAGAATTGGAAGAGGATATGATTATTAAATATATACTTGATATGGATTCAAAAGGATTTCTATTCAATATTAAGAATATAGAAGATATGGTGAATTATATTTTTGAATCGAGGGATTCGAAATGTGTTGGAAAGTTTTGGGTATATTGATTTGTATAATATCGAATCAAATTAAAGATGCGTTTTAGTTATATTTATAATTTCCAAAAAACTTTTTATGAAGATTCTAAGTTTATTGAAGATTGGTTTCGAGTAGTTGCGAATATATAAGCGAAATACGGCATTTTGGATGGCGATTTCTACAATTTTGATGAAACAGGCTTTATGATAAAGATTATATTTGTAGCAATAGTTGTTATTAGTATTGAAAGATGTGGCAGAAGTAAATCAATATAGTCAGGTAATTGAGAATAGGCTATAGCAATAATATGTGAAAATGGAGAGAATGAAACTATTCCCCTATTTCTAGTGGTTTAGGGACAAGTTCATCTTTCCAATTGGTATATCGAAATCGATCTTCCTACGGATTGAGCTATTAAACCTATATCTAATGGATGGATAAATAATGAGATAGGTTTAAAATAGTTGAAACATTTTGATAAGTATATTAAAAATCGAAAAAAGAGCAGATATCGAATGTTGATATTAGACGGGTATGAAAGTTATAAAGCAAAAGTTTTTCAGGTATATTGCAAAGAGAATGATATTATATGCTTGAATCTATCATTGCATTCAAGTTATTTAATTCAATTATTTGATGTAGGCTGTTTTAGAAATCTGAAACGTTTATATGGTGATCAAATTGATAAGTTTATCAAGGTATATATCAATTATATTTTGAAGGTTGAATTCTTTATAGCTTTTAAAGCTGTATATGAAGAATCAATCATCTTTTAGAATATGAAATCAGGGTTTAGAGGAGCAGGTTTAATACTTTTTGATTTTGATGCTGTGCTTTCGAAATTGGATATTCGAATTTGTATACCTATTTTTTCCTCTTTCGATCTAGATTAATGGATTTCTCAAACTTTTTATAATCCAATTGAAACTCTTTCTCAATCAACTTTAATGAAATCTCGAATAACTTGATATCAATTAAGCTTTTCTATATCTATATTCGAGACTGTATTAGTTTTAGTTAAAGGTATAGAGAGATTAGCTTATGAGAATATATTTTTGAGTGTAGAGATTTGTATATTTCGAAAGGCAAATGAGGTATCAAGTAAGTGTTGATGTGTGAAAAAACTTAATTGTGTTAAGGAGGAGTATTTACTGGATAAGAGGCTTTTGATATATTATTTCAGCAAGAGGTTGATATTTAGATTCAATGTGATGAGTGTTAAAAAGAAAGGAATTCTAATGGGAAGCATTTTCTATTCGGTGTTGTAGTAAATGCGGAAAGACAGGTCATAATACAAGAACCTATCAAAATAATGTAATAGATCCTAGATTATTAGATTCTTAATAGTTTTAATCAATTGATTCAATCGTTGTTGAATAATATAGGTTTGAAGGTGTGAATTGACACACAACAAATTTCGAAGGAATTATTTTCTTCGGAATATGACCCTTTCGCGATCGTTTTAGATTATAGCTATCAAATCAATTCCATTGTAATTATCTCCAATTGATTCGAACCAGTAGTTATTGTAATATTGTTGTTGGCGTTCCAAATACAAAAGTTATACGAAAAATCGTATAAAAATTTTCTCCAAAAACCTTATATTTTAGAGATACAATATCAATATAAATTGTTCCAACAATTCTGTAATATCTAATAAAATAAAAATGGAAAAAGCTATTCCTAAAGCCTTTAATTTATTATCCTTTTATTCTATAATCATTTTAGGTATTTCTGCTTCAATAAATCTCTTTTGTTTCTTTAAAGAGCTATCAATATTGATTTCTAGTTTCCTAATTATATTTAATTTTATAATAAAAATAGAGGATCTCAATCTATCTAATAATTCTTTTATTATTTAAAGCTTAATCAAATCAATTTTATTTATTCAAAATAAAAAAAAAGGCTCCTTAAATCCCTTTTACAATCCAAGCAAACAATTATGAATTCAAATTATATTTATTATTTTAAAAAAAGCTATTCTAAAAGCAAAAGATCTTATTCTCTTAGTTTTTATTTTTATTCAAACTCATAAAGAGCAATCTAAATTATTAGATTTTTTGGAAATCTTCTGAGAATATATCGAAAAAGGCAATCTTATTATAGTTTTCAAAATTATTATCTTTTAGATTATATATCTTGAATCTGCAATTCAAAAGATTGAATTACAAGTAAAAGCTTTAATTAAATCCTTTTTGATTAATATCAATTTAATCCCGAAATCTTTTTATATCAATATTACAAAAAAAAAAGAATGGAATTTAGTTTTTAAAAGAAAAAACAATAAATTTATTTCAATAAAAAAAAAGTTTAAAATTATTCAAAAAAGATTTTTTTTAATTAAATCAGAAATCTTTAATCTCAAAACGTTTTTGTTTCTAATAATACAAAATAAGATTAATAAGGTTTTTAAGAAATTGAAATCAAAGAATTAATAATTATTATAGTAATACTTTTTTTTAATAATAATAATATTATTATTATTAATAATTCCTTTATATTATAATTCCTAATTGAAAAGAAAATTATTTAAAAGAATATTATCAAATTCGAAAGAATCCAAAAGGATTAAGAATAATATAAAGTTATTATTTATAATATCTTTATAAAAGAATTTTTTGGATTTAAAGAAATAGATTTGATTATAACCGAAATCGAAATCTTCAATATAAACTTCAAGCTAATAGGAATTCCCTTTTAGCTTATTTTATTAATTAAAAGAATCTATTAGAAAGATAATGCTATTATGATAATCTTTGTTTCGAAATCAGAAGCTGAATTAGCTATTCGAAAGTGGCTGTATATTATAGATATTAATATTAGAATAGAGTAATTTTACGAATCCAGATCAATTATTTAATACTAAAATGCTAAGGCTTTGGGTATCAAAGTTCGTATTGCAAAAAAAATCCTTTTTGTAGATTATATGGAGGTAAATATATTATAGTAATATATTTCTGTATAGTTTGTAATCTAAAAGGAAAAGCCTGTTTTTATATTATTACTAAATGTTTTAATTGTTAAGGAAATCATATAGCTAATTCCAAAAGCTGTGAAATCTTTAAAGCAATTTAACAAAAAGCTAATAGTATTAATTAATGTATTACAACAATATCAGATTTCTTTAAATAAATCTCAATAAAAGTTTTCAAGCTATAAAAAACATTCTACAGCTTGCTTTTGAGCTAAATATCGATTTGATTCTAATTTAAAAACCTTAGATTTAAAAGAATGAAATTAATTTCTTTAATTGCAGATTGATTATACACTTCAATTTTATATAAATTCTTTTTAATTTCAATTCTGAATTCAAACTTCAAACTCTTTTTTATATTACTAAAGACTTCAAAGCTACAATCAATCTAGTTTTTTATTTTTTAATAGATCCGGATATACAGATAATAAATTATCAATATAGAAACGAAACCTTTCAAATTATTAATATATATAACAAAACGAATTAAATGTAAAAAAAAGGATATATAATTAATTGATTTTTTTATAATTAGTTAATCAATCAATAGACAAAAAGACCATTATCCTCCGCAAGGAGCCTGGCTGGTTCAGTGGTAGAGTGATCGGGTCACTCTCCTAC